GTGGTGTGGTGTACATATTTTAATTTTCCAAATTCTGAAAAATGAAACACACCCATTTGCCAAATTTCATTTCTTTGATTACCCTTTGGGTTAATTCCTGCAGGTAGTGGATTTTAATTATATAAGGAACAAGTAGGACATTTTCTTATAATTTCCTTGGCTTGTTGCCAAGTGATGGAAAAATCCTTTTTCAAACCATTGCTATTGATGTGGCGTTTTTTATGAAACCCGGAGGCCTCCAGCACTTTTCCTACTTCTAACTGATCATTTTCATCATTACATTACCTTATGCTAGAGGATCTGGCAGACCCATATGGGATCTGATATATGTTATGGATATGGAATGATTCCCATTCCTGACTATTCCCTGTAATCGTTCAAATAATGAAGTTAATTCAGATTTATCAGGAATAAATTCAGCGGTTTCAATGTATAAAACAACTCTTTCTGCATATTGATAATTTATTTTTATATGCATTGGTATGAGAGTGTGAGATCACCTGGTACTGGAGCTGCAGACAATTGTGAGCTGCCATGTGGGTGCTGGGAATTGAACCTGGGTCTCTGGAACACCAGCCAGTGCTCTTAACCACTGAGCCGTCTCTCCAGTTCGTTTTCTGCATATTGGGAGCCAACAACTATATTAAAAGGTTCTCTAAAGTCCATTAATACCATGAGAATAGCATATAATTCTGACTTTTGGACAGAATCATAAGGGCTTTGAGCCACTTTAATTAAATTTCCTGATTTACAACCTGCCTTTCCTGATTTATTTGTATCATATAGAATGTAGGGACTCCAGATATTGGTGTTCCTCATACAATGTGAGGAAGGACCAATTGGTTCTTTTTATGAATTGAAGTCTCTTGCTTTTGGGATATCTGTTGTTAATTTCTCTCAAAAAAAACTTGCTGCAGATCTTTGCCAGTGTTCATTTTCTGCCCTTATAAAGAGGGAATTTCAGCATTAGTAAAAGGTACTACAATTTCTGCTGGGTCCATTCCTGTCAATTGACAAAGTCTTCAATTTTCCTTTTAGAATCAACTCAGAAACCTTGTCCACGTATGTCTTTAATTTTGCACTGTTTATGTGGTTAAAATATCCCCTAAGATAAATTTTTCCTTCTGAATTAAAAATCCCTGTAGGGGATCTGTAGAGGGTAAAATAACCAGAATGCAGTCAAGCTCTGGATCTAAATGATCCACATGTGCATCCTGTAATATCTTTTCCACCAAAGCCAATTCTCTCTCAGCATCAGCTGATAATTCATTCAAATTACTCAGTTCATGAGTTGTTACTCTAATAGTGGACTGTAGATAGGTAATGTCTCCCAGCAATTTTTGAAAGTCATTAAGAGTATGCAGTTGATCTCTCCTGACTTGTACCTTTTCGGGTTTAATTTTTGTGTAAACCTATTTTATATCCTAAGTAATTAATAGAATCTCCTCTTTGTATTTTTTCAGGAGTAATTTGTAATCCCAAGCAAGGCAAAACTTTCTTTACTTCTTCATTTTTTTCTAAAGTATCTACATTTGAATCAGCTAATAAGGTATTATCCATATAATGGTAAATTATAGATTGAGGAAACTACACAAATTATTCCCAACAGCTGTTGTACAAAATATTTGCATATGGTAGGGTTATTTAACATCCCTTGTGGGAGAATATTCCATTGAGATCTTTTTACAGGCTGAGAATTATAAGTAGGCACCTTGAAGGCAAATTTTTCCCTATCCTTTTCTTGTAGAGGTATATTAAAGAAACAGTCTTTTAAATCAATACTGTAATAGACCATTCTTTAGGTAACAGAAAAGGCAGGGGAATTTCAGGCTGTAGAGAGCCCATTGGCTGAATTACTTTATTTATGGCTCTGAAATTTGTCAGCATTCCCCATTTTCCAGATTTCTTTTTAATAACAAATACAGGATAAGTCCAAGGACTGATTGATTCTTCAATTTTTTGCTCCTGTACCAGCTGTTCTCAGGCCTGTAATTTTTTTGTTGTCAAAGACCATTGGTCCACCCAGACAGGTTTGTCAGTTAATCATTTTAAAGATAGATTGTTGGTACCTATGAAAGATCAACAGCTGTTGTGCCCTTTTCTTGTACAACCTGAATGGTTGGTGACTGTTCTTTACAATACTTTTTGATATTTTTCCCAGAAACATATGTTGGTTTATGGTCTGTTTCTGAGATTGGAATGTTAATCTGGGTATTCCATTGCTGTAACAAAACACAGCCTCATAAATTCATCGCTCTGTTAGCCATATATAGCTTCAATTTTCCTCTCTGTCCTTCTGGTCCTATACATTGAACCCATCTTGTGTTTTGTTTTATTTGAGATAAGGTTCCAATCCCTAAAAGCTGAATATCTGTCTCCTGAAGAAGCTAGTTTGGATGCCATGGTTCTGGTGCAATTATAGGCACATCTACTCCTGTGTCTAAAAGACCTTCAATTATAATGTCATTTATTTACACTCTTACCTTTGGTCTTTGATCATTTATTGAAATTTGCCAAAATATTTGTTTTATCATTTCTCCTGAATGTTTTGTTTTTATCTTCTAAAACTATTGTATCATGTATTGGCTTTTTACCATAGGCACTAGGTCCTTTAATTGCTCTGGGGAGGAGTTTCCCCCATGGTAACAGGGAATGACTGAACCAAGTTCAACATGGGGGCCTGTGAGAAACCCCTCAAGGCTTTTTCTGATGGGAAAGGGTTGCCTTGCTTGTCCCTCGCTGATCTGCATTCTTTGGTCCAATGTTGGCCTTTGCTGCGTCTTCTGCATAATCCAGAAGGTTAGGGCCTTCTGTTCGGGTTATCTCAAGAAGAAATGTTTCTAGGAACACCCTGCCTACAATTTCTTTTTAAGATAACATTGTTTACCACAATTAAAACATTGAACATTTTGATTTTTCCTTAAGCCTTTGGAAATCACCTCTCCTACCCAAGTATCATCATAGTTAAGAGACTCAATATTGACTGTGTATTGGATCCATTCTTCTGTGGGTGCTGATCTGATAGTTAAAGGCCCAATTATCCTCCTGCATTGTAAATTAGCATTTTCAAAAGCTGAAGGTTGAATTAGTACTCATCTAACTTCTGGATCTGATATCATTCTTTTTACAACTGAGGTCAATCTTTGTAAAAATCCAGTGAAGGGTTCTTTGGGCCTTGTATAACTTTAGTATATGGTTCGGACCTTTTTCCTGATTCTTGAATCTTGTCCCAAGCATTTAAGGCTGCTGCAAGGCATAGGGACAAGGTGTGTTCATCATCTATGTCAGCATAAAAGCCCTCACCAAGGATTTGATCTTGGGAAATCTCAAAACCTGTAACCCTACCTTGCTGTTCAAGGGCCTTAAGTCCTTCTCTCAACCAGCTGTTCCATCCTAACTGATGACCATATTCCAATACTGCTGCAACTAATTGTGTCCAGTTCTTTGGAGTAATTTTTGTTCTGAGAGCACCTTGCATTCAACATCTGCCTCACATATGCTGAATGCACACCACAGGAAACTATTGCTTCCTTAATATTCCTTAAGTCTAACATTTACATAGGATCCCATTTATATCCTTTGGGATACTTGTCATCTGCTGGTCTTTCATAAATAGTAATGGGATAACTCATAGTTGGTGTTTTAACAACCTTAGGCTGCTCTTCTCTAATTCCATAAGGTAATGGTGATTTTTGCTTCTCCTCTGAATTCTTCTGTGTCTAAATGCTTTTCTTATCAATTTTAATAAATTTTTCTAAGGCTTGTAATTTACCAGTAGTTGTTTCTTTTAAGGGTTGTGTATCTTGATTAGTAAGCTGTTCTACAACTCACATATTACCAGTCACTTATTTGTTCTCTTCATTTATAAATAACTCTAATGACTTCATCTTATCAGTAAGAGCTGTCTTATCCTTCTTAGTAACTGTTTGTAACGCCTGCATTTTATCAGCCATTTTCTTGTTTTGTTCATTGGTAAATACCTCTCAGGCCTTTATCTTATTAGTCAAAGCTGTCCTCTTTACCTTAGTAATTATTTGTAAGTCTTGCATATCATGTTCCATGGCCTGTATCCTTTCAGTCAATTTCTCATGTTTAGTTTTTTTTTAAGGATAAGATATGAATTGCCAGACTAAAAACCATTATGACCGAAATTGTATTGATCCTTAGCTAGGTTGCTTATCTCATCAGGAATTTTCTAGCATTCCATCCATAGTAGCAGTGAGCAGGGTCCTAATTTCCTGCGTTGTGATATTTGTAGTCATTGGCCTGGGAAGGTTTTACGATTGTCCCTTCCCCCTTATTCTTTTTAACCTCCCTCCCTCCCTTCCTTTCACCTTCCCAGATAATTGTTGTAGATGTAGTATTCATATTTGACCAGCCTGTGGAGCCGGTGTTCCGCCAAAGCAGGTCAGGCTCTGCATGCTGAGCGGATGCTCAGGATTTCCACAGTGCTTGAGCCTTGCAGCAGAGCCAGTTCAGGGAATCACTCTGTGTATGTAGGTGCCCAGACTGGGGAGGAGACGGGCCTCCAGGCAGTGGGGAGGCAGAAACGCAAGGCGGGAGATTTGGTTGACTACAGAGCAGATTAGGAACGTTCCTGGGTGTATTGGCTAAAGTCGCCCAGATGGATTCTGCTACATGTGTCCAGGCAGCTCTGCATCCCAGAAAGGGATTTTAAAAGCCAGGGGTTGGAGCCAGTAGGTGGTGGTGCACGCCTTTAATCCCCACACTCGGGAGGTAGAGGTAGGTGGATCTCTGTGAGTTCGAGGCCAGTCTGGGCTGCAGAGTGAGTTCTAGGACAGGCTACACAGAGAAACCCTCTCTTGAAGAAAACAACAATAACAACAACAACAAAAGCCAGGGGTTGGGCATACAGCATGCGTGCCCTGAGATGGCATGGTCAGACTGCCACGTTGGTGCCAGGTAAAGAGGGAAGGCAGTCTGGGATCAAGTCAGAGTTTATTAACAGGTAAAATCAATACAATACACTTACAATACAGAACGAAGCTGCCACGACTCTGCTGATCCAGCTGCTGCCGCCTCTTTGTTCCCGAGGGAGAAGGTGACCAAACTGCCAGCCACGCTTCTCAGTTGCTCGCTGACACCGTCCAAGAGAGAGCAAGCCCCCAACCCCCCTTCTCTTCTGGTCACGTCTCTCCAGAGAAGACCGTGCCCAGTGGGCCAAGCCACTCCTTACAATTGGCTAGCAAGCTGCTGTCAATAATTCCGGTAACACTTACGCCTCTGTTTTCTTGACCCCTTTGCTGACATTTTAGCGTATAAAATGTCACATATGATTGTACCACCTGTAACTTGTTAAATTGCCTGAAAAGAATTTTAAAATTGTTGCTCATCTGGTGCCTCTTTCTTTATTTCTGTGCCACTGTCAGGTGTGGTGTATGGTAAAATATGATTCTGCAGTGCTGTGTCTTGTTTTCTCCGTGTGTGTAATGTTTGTGTGTAGGTATACACACACTCTCACACACACATCCTAAAGAAAGCTACACTCCTTTGTAGCCTTGAACATGATCTCTTTGGGAACAAAAGCCCATGGGAGAGAGCACCATGCTGCTGTTTCTTTTTTCTAATGTGTGCCCTTCCTTTGATTTTAATTCTTTTCAGTTAGCACATAGAATGCTTGTTTTCAGTGACATTATCGTGAACTTGTCATTGTGATTTGTTTATATTTTCTCCTCAGCTGTTTTCCCTGTTACTAAAAAAATTTTTTTTTTCAAAATTAATTAATTTATTTATTTGGAGGCAGGGTCTCTACATAGCCCTGGCTGTCCTGGAACTCACTATGTAGACCAAACTGGCTTTGAACTCATAGAGATCAGCCTGCCTCTGCCACCCGACTGCTGGCATTAAAGGCTATGCCACCATGACTGACCTCAGTTTATTTTCAGTTTACATGTATGAGTGTCTTGCTTGAATGTTTGTCTGTGCACCGTGAACATGCCTGCTACCTGAGGAGTCCAGAGGAGGGACTGACTGGCTTTATGGTTTTGTAAGCTGCCATGTGGACGCTTGGAATTGAATCTTGGTCCCCTGTTAACAGCAAAAAGTGTTTTAAACTACTGAGCCAACTCTCTCACCTCCCTCTTTATTTTTAATGTTAATGAGTCTCTGTGTTAGCACAGAACAATGGCAGGTATATAATGTAGAACTCAGTAAAATATTTGTGGAGTGCATGACTTAAAACACTCATTTTCAGTATTTTCAATTTTGTGAATGTCTGTAGAGAACTCCATATACAGAGGTGTGGTCTCAGAAATATTTATTATTTTTACTTCTCTGATGATTCAGTTAAATGCCATATATTTAATAAGGACTAGATCTTCTGCATACTGATACTTAGGACTTTTAAGTTAGTATTCATTCTATTATTAAGTACATTGGGGTAATGCATATTCTCACATGAGCATAAATGAAAGATTTAGGTCAGGTTAAAATCTAAACAATTCTTGTGCCCTAATGAGGTAGTTCCCCTTCTCCCCAGAAAACTGACTGTGGCAGAGATGATAACTGGAATGCAGGAAGGAGTGGAGTTTTATACCAGCAGTCCTCAAGTGTCCACAGTTTATTAACTGCAAAAGGCTCTTTTTTAAAAATGTGGGTTATATGTAGTATTGGTATTTACTGTATGAGATTCTAAAAGTATAAAAATATATAATTCATATTTTAACAAAACTCCATGCAAACATAGTAACACAAATCATGTGTTTTATGAAATAAAAGTGTTTTCCAAGAAAAGTATTTAGATCGACATTGTTTTATGTTTTTGCAAATCCTCTAATCTCTGGCTTGATGCACAGCTGGGTATTCACATCTGTTCTAGATTCGGGTGTGAAGATGTGTTGCTGCAGTTGAAACATATGGGGAGCCTGGCTGTGCAAAGAGAGTTGGAAAGTTTCCAAATTAAAATCAGAATTTATTTTTGGAATAAATTTGATAGTCTTCTTTATTACTAGCCTGAATCTCAGCAATTGAACAGTTCTTTTTAAGGGCTCACTGTGACACCAGCTCCAAAATTATATCAGTGAAATTTGTATATGTTTTTGATTTTTTTTTTTTGCTGTTATTTTTAATTATTTGTGTGTGGGAGGTATGTTCCTGAAGAGGCCAGAGCACCTGATCGTCTGGAGTTCCTCCCCTATCCAGGGCTGGGTCCTTTGGAAGAGTGCTCTGGACTGCCGAGCTCTCTGCCCCCTTTTGTAATTTTTTCATATTTAAATATACCAGCCTTTCTCAAACCTTTTTTTTTTTTCTTCCCAAAACAGGGTCTCACTATGGTAGCCCTGGCTTGCCTAGAACTTGCTGTGTAGACCAGGATGGCCTCAAATTCAGAGATCCACCTGCCTCTGCTTTTCAAGTGCTGGATTAATAATGCATACCACCACACCTGGCCCTTTCTCAAACTTTTTAATATACCCTCTATTCATGCATAATTTTGTACATTTTGTACTGGCCATTTGAAAACGATTTTTCAAGCCTGTGATACACCTTAATTCACCCCTTTACTCACTAAGATTAGGAACTGGGCCATTAGCAAACTTATGACAGTGTTTCCAAAATCATAAACTTTTCATTTAAAAGCTTCAGTTTAATCTTCGCCAACAAATCGTTAATATTTTCTTGAGTAAGAGTTTACCTCATTCATTTTGTAAGAAATATCTGTGGGATGCCACTTGAGAAGCCATTGTGTTTTTTGAAGTGTAAACTAATGAGGGTACAGCCAAATCAGCCCTAGAAGCAAAGGTCTAAGTAAGCTTGGTGTTTTGTTAACTAGGATATTAAAAGTCAAACTGGTGTTAAGATATTAATAAAATTAATTCTTCAGAGAGACCTTTTCATTTGGTTTTGTTGTCATGCATAGTGATGGAAAATTCATAACACATGTTCCTACCTGTGAGGTGGGAAGCTCATCTTTGCTTGGTAATGTCCATGCAAATGTCACAGCCTTGGTGAAAAAAGTAACATTGTATGAAAGGAAGTTTGCCCCCAGGATGCCATAAAATTCTGTAGATCTCATTTTGAGACCCAGTACCACGCTGATCGCATTTTGCCATGCACACATGTGTTTACTATCCTTGACTTAAAACTGTGAGTGCCTCCACAGCCATAACAGTGAGACATTTGCTGTGAGGTGGGGGGGGGGGGGGGTACATCTCCAACAGCTAGAGATAGTGTAACTTCCTTGGCAGGATACTACAAGGGCTAAACCCTGTCTGGCCTTGGGTGGTTATTGTAGCTTGAGTTTTCCTGCCTGGCCCACAGCAGGACAAATCTCTGTCACCCGCCAATCCCACAGCAGCTCAGACCTGACCAAGTAAACACAGAGACTTATATTGGTTACAAACTGTATGGCCGTGGCAGGCTTCTTGCTAACTGTTCTTATAGCTTAAATTAATCCATATCCATTAATCTATACCTTGCCACATGGCTTGTGGCTTACCGGCATCTTCACATGCGGCTTGTCATCATGGCGGCTGACAGTGTCTCTCTGACTCAGCCTTCCACTTCCCAGCTTTATTCTCCTCCTTGTCCCGCCTACACTTCCTGCCTAGCCAATGGCCAATCAGTGTTTTATTTATTGACCAATCAACAACACATTTGCCATACAGAAGATCCCACAGCAGGTTATGGAGTGGATTTTTGTTTTGTGTGTTTGCTTTGGTTCTTCTGTGGGCTTGTCTGTCTGTCTGTCTGTCTGCTGGTTTTTTAGAGCAGACAACCCTGGAGGAAGTGCTGTCACCTTTCTTGCTCTTCCCCACTTCCGAGGTCTCTGTATTGTCCCTTAACACTAAATGCAGCTTCATTCTATTCATTTGACTTGAACCGGCTCCCATTGTCTGTTAGGGTCAGTGCTGATTCCTTCTTTACAGTTTTCTTCTTTTTGAAGCACTACACTAGACACTTACTTAGTCTCTGTCTGTCACCTGTTAGCTACCAGGACCATCTGGTACAAATTTTCACTCTTGGTTTTTGCAATAATTTTAAGTATAACAATGTGTGAGCACTTTTCTCAACTTACTTAAGTTCGGTAGTCTTAGTTTTGCTTACTTGCCTCCTTATTCTGGAAATGCTTTCAAAAACATCATTATAATTTTGGTTTGGCCAGCATGGTTTTCTCTACTCTTCTTGCAGTGCCCGAGTTAAGAGCACAGTGCTTGCCTGTTCTGTTGGTTGACCCGTCTTTGGAGAGTGTGGGCTGTCTCATAAGCCTGAAGCTGCCACAGTAGACTGGATTGGTTTAGTATGAGGTGGTAGTGCTGCTTCCTATGCCCATGAGCTTTTCATGCTGCTCCTGGTTCGACTTCCCACACTGGGCTTTCTCACATTCTTTTTCAGCAAGAAAATGATTTGTTTACCTTGAATCCTGTAGTTGGTTTCCACCAGATCATTGAGAAAATGTATCATGTGACCTGCTTTGTCTACTGGATTTCATGTCTCCCTTCAGTGCCCCATCTATGTGTTTGAACTAGAGTTTACTAAGTAATTCAACACTCAGTAAGTTCCTGTATACTCTCCATTTTTAAAGGGATTTGTAGATAGTTTTGTAAACACTTTTTTTGTATGGTTTGGAAGTTACAGACAACATCTGAACTCTGAAGTAGTTCACCACAGGTCTTTTCAGTAGGAGAATAGTTATTGTTAATTGATGAAGTTGACTCTTGTAAATTCTGATTGTAAATTCTGCTAGATACATTGCTAAGGCCCTTTGAAATGGCTTATTTGGGATTCCAATCTAGTATTTGCTAGTATAAAACAATTGTGACTCTCTTGTGTAAAAAACAACACAAAATTAACTATAAATACAAAAAGAAAGTACCCTTTTGTGTAAGTGAACATCTTGCCACGTGTACTCTTTAAAGACTAACCTGAAGATGATTGTATGTCAGACGAAGACGGTGACTGTTTTCTCTTCTGCTTTTTCTGCTTTTACTCTTTGATCTGTATTTGTTGCTGTTGCATGTGAAGATATTGTAGGCTGTCTGCACTAGAGCATTATATTTAAAGTATTAATTATGCCTTGTAAAATATATGAGATGTAGATAGATCCATTGACTTTATAAAGGATTTTTTCCATTTTAGTGTGAATTTTGTGGAATGAATCTTACAATAGAAAATACAGTTTAAATAGCATTTATCTTTAGTTTAGGAGTCAGGTTTCTTCTTTTTTTAAACCCCACCCCCCCAGATGGTACATGTGTACTTGTGGGCATTAGTCAGTGTGCCGTAGTGTGAATGTATATGATGAATCCTCACCTCCAGGCTTGCTTTTTGCTGCCAGCTTCCAAGGTACTCCTGTCTCTGCTCTCCATCTCACACTGGAAATGCTGGGGTTAGGAACTTACGCCACAATGTCCAGCTTTCCTGTGGGCATGGGGGATCCGGGCTCCACCCTTCCTGCTTCTGTGTCCAGTGCTTTTGACTACTGAGCTGTCTCCCCAACTTGGGAGTTCTTGTTTTGATTAGAGAGACTGCCAGCAGCCATCCTTAAACCGTATGTACACAAGCCATAGTGTTGATACACACAAAAAAATAAGTGTAAGCCGGGCGGTGGTGGCGCACGCCTTTAATCCCAGCACTTGGGAGGCAGAGGCAGACGGATCTCTGTGAGTTAGAGGCCAGTCTAATCTATAGAGTGAGCTTCAGGCCATCCAGGGCTTCATAGACTAAAAAAAACAAAAACAAACAAAAACAAAAAAACTGGAAGAAAAAGAATTGATTTGATGTTTGTTAAACTGGGGTTTAAATTTATTTTTGATTAGTTATCAAAGAACCTGGAACATGCATTTCATTCAGGAGGTTTCTTCCTGAGATTGTCTAATCACATTAAGATCTTCATGTTTTCTTGGCTTTGCAGGTTACAAATGGGCTTTTAAAGAAGGATATGATTTAGTCTTAAAATACTAGAAATTACTTGTCTTTTAAGATACGTTTTAGAAGATGCTAAGAATGTCTGAAAACTTTCCTTCCTTGGATGTACTTTAAGTACACAAATTGACATTACCTCAAACATTGGTGAGGTCTTCATTATTTTTAGTTAGGTAGGAAATTGAGAGTAGAGTACTTTCAGTGCTGTCCAGTATTGAGTGCTGTTTATTGCGGGGAGAGTAGGGCACTGGCTGGCAGGAGGTACTAGGTGCTAATATACCGAGTTCCTTTCGAGTGATTCTGAGGGGCATGGTTGTGTTCAAAGATGAAGTCTGTTTCTGAAGAACAGATTCAGGCTCTGTGAATTCAGATGTCAAGTTTACAAGTATCAAAGAATGATTACATAGAGTTTCAGACTTTGTAGTGATAAAGCCACATTTGGTGGTGCGTTCCTATAGTACCAGTGACTTGGGATGTAGAAATCCCAACAGGATCACTTGAGCTCAGGAGGTTGATAATAGTTAGGGTACCACAGCTAAGCCTTCCCCCTAAACAACAAAACCAAACAATAGTAATTTTATATTAGCTAGAGATACTGTAACAAATCCCACTGATTGAGTGGCGAAAAGAAGCCTGTTCTCAGGTTCCTAGGTGATCCAAGGTCAAGGGACCTTTATGGTCAGTGTCTTCTGAGGCTCTTCTGTGCCCATGTATCCTTGATGTGTCTCAACTTGGGAACCAACCAAGTAAGACCCACATTGCTTTATTTGAACTTAGAGACCTTGAAAGACCCTGTCTCCATTACAGTCACATCCAAGGTAGGTCACTTCCTATACACTTGTACACAGACTGTGTTCCTAGTTATGCTATTTTGAGTTTGGAGTTGAAAGGTATTATAAGCCCACCATGTTAAAGAGGTGCTGTTGCCACAGTGTATCTTGGGTTCACAAAGTCAACTTGGCATAGTACTTCATGTGGCCCTAGTGAGCAACATGACCACAGATTTTCATCTGCTCATGGGTTTGAGAGCTCACCCCCCAGTCAGGATTGTACTAGTAGAAGATGCTGTGTATTTCTGAGATTTCAGTAGAGATTTTATAGTCTGTGTATGACATGTGCTGGTTGCCTTTGAGGATGTGATGCCATTTGTTAAGATAACATTGTGTGTAAACTATTGTGATAGCTTCCACTGTTAATACAGATTGGTGACATGGGAGAGACCTCCTACTGCTGAGTTTCTCTCAGTGGTCTCATCTATTCACTGTGTCCTGCACTTCTAGTAGTCATCAGAAATTGGTATTTGATGCCAGGCGGTGGTGGAGTACGCCTTTAATCCCAGCACTTGGGGAGGCAGAGGCACGTGGTTCTCTATGAGTTTGAGGCCAGCGTGGTCTACAGAGCAAGTTTCAGGACTGGTTCCAAAGCTACACAGAGAAAACCAAAAGAGAAAAAGGAAAAAAATATTAGTATTTGAGTATTTTGGAGTACATAGCCTTTTCTTATATGTGAGTCTTGCCATATTGAAGTGAGGAAGATAATACTGAAAAGGAAAATCAACGTATATTTAACCAGATCCTTTACCTATTGTCTAGCAAGGGCTCTGTATACCCACCCCACCCCCTTCATTTCCTTACTATTCCAAACTAATGGGAAGAAGTATGTATGCCGTAGTAACAGATGTAATTAGCTATTCTCAAAAGACTGAAATTAAATGACTAGATCCTCTTCACTGTGCTATGGATGGTACCTGTGAGTCACCCGTATTTTACATCCTTTGCCTGCTTAGGCACACTGCCCTGACTTGTATGCACTCAGTGTTGTCCAAGTTGCAGTGAACTAAGTGCCTTTTTCCCACAAACCAGGAAGGTTCTGGGTGAATGGCCATAACCTTGTTGTGTTTGTCAGGTCTCTGAGGCTTGCTACCCTTCAGCAGGTTCACCTCAGCGGCCTTTTCAGTACTGTTTCTGTTAGCACATTTAATCCACACACAGTACCACAAGTAGGTGGAAATCTAATTCTCTTCAACCAAGGAGCAGACCATTGGCACTTCTATGAATCAGGATGGTTGTGGTGCAGTTACTCTGGAACATGTCTGCCAGGATGTCCTTTCACCTCCGTTTCCAGATCTACCCAGTGTGATTCGCAAGGGCCATCCATACACAAGAGCCATGCTGTAGCGGGACAGTTAGCACAAGCCCACATGTTTGATGCACCTTTATTCTGAGTAAATACCAGCATAGATTTTTTAAAACAGATCGATACACAATGGGTCAATTCCAGCCCACCACCTTCCTCAAAAGGACCAAAATCAAAAGGAGGTTTTGTTTTTTTTCCTTTCATTTAAAAAAAAAAAAAAATGTGCTGCAGTGGGGGTTGGGGGGATCAGGGCGGGGGAGAAGACTAATATTTAACACAATAATTACTGTGAAATATAAGCTTCATTATCCACAAATAAAGTTTTATTGGAACACAGCCATGTCCATTTGTTTGCATTTACTGTTTTTGCACCACATGGTAACACTGAGTAGTTGTGACAGACTGTACAGCTGGCAGAAACTCAAATATTTATTGTTTGGCTCTTACAAGAAGTTTTCTGACCACTTTTTAAATTTTGAGAATAGATTTATGATTATATATACTTAAGTCATGTTGTAGTATGCTTCTTGTCCTACCCTACCCTATCCAGTAAGAGTGTGGCATTCTAAGAACTGTGTTCCAGCCTCCTAGTTTTACACATACCTAGATCATGACTCGAACACCATGTTATGAGATTCTGAGATACAGGAAGCAAGTCTGCCAGGTGTGTAGACATCACAGCACCAGAGGAGGTGGCTGAAGCCTCCCTGCTCGGCGCTTTAAAGCTGTGCCCTTTTTCAGTGACTGATGTTCTTGAGTCTTAAATCTTGCTTTTTGTTTTTTTCTATTTAAGGGAGTAAGTTTTATATTACATGCAGTGTTGAAGGTCTTTGTGAATCTTTTCCTTTTTGACAGGATGTTATCTTATAGAAAAATAGCACTAGCTATGTTTTGATCGTGTAAATCATTTTTACCAGCAATGGAAGTGACTATGTTAATATTGCAAGCAATGAAGAACCTTTGTTTAACATTTAATAAAATCAAATGTTTTTTACAACATTGTTTACATTTTGTTTTAATATAATTTTACTGAGAAAATAATTAACTTTGTTTTATTTTTAGGGTTATATCCTGTGTTGTGACCTCATGGTTTAAGTGGAAATAAAGATGAGTATAAGCAGTGATGAGGTCAACTTCTTGGTATATAGGTACTTGCAAGAGTCAGGTGAGTACTTCTGTAAAGTAATAGGCCTCAAATTCTTTTGCTATTCTCAAAATAATTTTTTATGCATTTGAAATTTGTACCAGTCCAAACTGTTGAGCTCGTCTGTTTCTTGATGTCTGGACTGCCACTTTAAAGCTGTGTTTGCTGCATGGTTTAACTCTCTGACTCTTTCAAATATGACGGGATCATCTCGGGCAAATATTTATATAGATAACTAGCAGTTTGTCTTTTGATGCTCAGAGGTCATTTTTAATAAGTAAGGTGTATATGTTTAGTAAGAACTCAGATACCATCAACTTGGTAATGTATATCGCATGTACACAGTTAATTTTCCTACTTATCGTTAGAATCTGAAAAGCTAAATTAATATTTTTCAGAATATTTTCTTAAGTATTAATTCCAATTTATTAAATATATTCTGATCTGAATTCTGATTGATGTATTTTGGCATTGAATGTGGTTTGCAATTAATATTGTGATATTATTGATCATCTGAGTTTTCTAGATAAAGAGATCAGATATAAATAACCCTGAGAGTGAAAATGTTGCTGGAATGAGCAAAAAAATTACCGCTGTTTCTCTCTGAGTAACTGAGAAGATGATGTGTGATAGAAAGAGCAGGGAGGCAAGAGTGACCACCCAACAGAGAATAACTGCTGGGAAGCTTTGGCAGATTCGGCCTTCATGACTGTTCCAAGCATACCCTGTGAAAGTGTTTACAAGTTGTGATATAACACTTTGCTCATCATGGAAAGGATTTGTTGAGGGGACACCGTGGCTTTCTCCTCTTGAATCTGACTGCCTGTCAAGCCGCAATTTTGAAGCTTTGGGATAAGCAGGCAGAAAGCAGTGTGAAGGACTGGTGGACAGGGATTTGTTAATCAAAGTCTCATTTGGTGTATTGGAAAGGCGACCTAGTATGCCAGCCACAGCAAACCCCATTGGCTGTAGAACGGGGTACTTACCTTGAGTTCAGAGAGCTCAGCCTTGGTTCTACCATCTAATGTTACATGATTGTGATCATCTCTGGAACCGTGGGATTCAGTTCTGTCTGTATGCACCATTGATTTCAGGGTTGCTCATGCCAATCAGTTAACTATTTAAGAAATATGATATGTTGCTTGAGTTTTAACTTTTTCTCTTGAAATATCTAACACACACACACACACACACACACACACACACACACACACACACACGCACACGCACCTAGCCTTCTTACTCCTTACCATGTCGCCTGGGTAATAAGTGAGTCCGGGAGATAGAGGAAGCCATGACAGATATGCTTAGAGAACTAGTCTGTGAAATGACTTGACTAAAATGCCTGGTTTTGGCTCTCAGGAGAGAAATGCTTTAGGAAGCTTTGATTCTGTTTTGATAAATAATTGGCTGAGAAATAACATTTTTCAGTAAGAACTTGTAACATCTGTTCCCTGAATACCGTGTTTAATGTTGACTAGACTGTGGTATCCATAACTAGAGGGAATGGAACTATTTTTAGTCTTAAAATATTTTATACTATTATTAACACTAGAAAACATGATTTGCCCCAGAATGCTAACTTCAGAGATGGGTTGCTTGTTGAAAGGGATATCATGGTAGCTTTAAATATTCAGCTGGGCTTGCCTTTCCAAATTGGCTGTCCCTGAAATGTCAAGATGAAGACAAAAGTATTATTTATCATTGGGCATTTATTAAGTTGTAACTTTGTACTTATTAATTGTGTCTCAGTTAAGTTCGTGATAAGAAAGTTGCTGGAGTCCTCACCATTGAGCATTTTTAGGAAGCCAGCCAACCCAGTGCAGCAAATACCTCTTAGGAAATAATTTTTTCTTCTGTTTGAGATAACTTAAAAGTTCCAAGCATTTGTTACATAGAAGTAAGGATTGACTTAAGCCAGTGTTCCTCTCATTAGTGTTTGCCCCAGGGTGTGAATTTGATTGCCCTATTGACTTACCTGGCAAGCCTGTGCAGTAGCCACGCAGTGGTCCATGATGAGTCATGTAATTAAGCCAGGCACAGAGTTCACTAGAGCTAAGCTGGTTTGGATCTTTCCTACCACCCTACCCACTTTCCGTTTTGTTTGTTTGGTGGGGGTGTTAAATCTTCCCTGGTAATTTCTTGTGAACTTTCTGGTATTTGTTCTTTTAACTGCTTTATTTAAGAAGATAAAATTTCAGCCAGGCGGTGGTGGCACACGCCTTTAAACCCAGCACTCAGGAGGCAGAGACAGGTGTATCTCAGAAGTTTGAGGCCATCCTGGAGCAAGTTCCAGTACAGCCAGAGCTACACAGAGAAACCCTGTCTTGGGGGTGTGGGTGGGGGTTGAGGGAAAGGCAAGATAAAGTTTCATTTGGCTCCCTTTGTATGTTTGATTCTAGAAGTCTTCACAGATTTGACTGTCATTGCACATGTTCAAGAGCTCTGCAACATCTCTGTTGATAATGAAATTAGCTCTAAAAAGCCATGAAACAGATGCATCTTATGATTGACTAAGTAAAAATTGCAAAAATCAAAATGCACTTACTACTACTAAGACATTAAATCACTAGATTATGATGTTGGAAAGTCTTAGGAAGAAAACCCTCATGGTTTTAGAACTGGGATTCATGGTGCAGTCCGTCTCCATGTCATCCCTCCTGTACCCCACCCTTTACTTTTGTGACCTCTTCGAAAAGTATCAGGTCTCCTAGATATAGGCCACACCACTTTGTGATACAGTGCTTATCCAAATGATAAGTGGGCACCTCTAATCCAAAAATCTGAAATCCAGAATGCTTCGAAATCTACTATCATGTGATAACTAATTTAATGCAAGTAGAAAATTCCTCATCTGACCTTAGGTTGACAGGACTCGGTTAATATACAGGCCGCGCTAACTATAATGTTACAAAGAATACCTCTAGGTTTTCTGTAACAGGTGCTATATACCATAAATGAATTTGTTTAAATATGGGTCTCATCCCCAAGAGACAGTCTCATTACAGGCATGCAGATGTTCCAGAATCTAAAGTCAGTAGCACATGTGGCCATTTCAGACACACAATACTGGGCCTGTGTTTTTGTTACAAGATCACCTATCAAAGCCCCGTGTTACTGTTTTTAACTTAGAAAAAGTGATCATAATAGGTTCAGAACAACTGGAAGGTGTTTAACATTAAGCTTCTATACCACCAGTCACAGTTCATTCATTTCTCTCATTTGACGGTTTTCTGTTAACCTCGATAGTGTTATTATAATGTCAGGAACCAAACGACAGTGCAGTTTCAAGGACTTTTATACTTTGAAATCAGTATCACTTACTTTGTAAGTGGAGTGACCATATGACCATTTTGTATGGAATAGGAAGTTTCTGTTTCTCATTTCTAGTTTTTTGTTTGTTTGTTTGTTTGTTTTTGTTTTTCGAGACAGAGTTTCCCTGTGTAGCTTCTGGAGCCTATCTGGAACTTGCTCTATAGACCAGGCTGCCTTGAACTCACAGACATCTGCCACCCGGCTTTTTTCTTTTTTTGGGTCTAGTAATATTTTTAAAGACAAAAGTCCATTAGAATAGTTGCCAGAGTATTTGCTCATTCTTAATCTTGCCCTTTTTCTTTGTGTTTTGTTGTTACTTTTGACTGTGTGGCAGAAGTATAAAGAAGCATATATTGTTAGTGACTTTTTATATTTGCATAGTTCTTTGGAAAGCAGTATGGTGGTCATAAGGACATCCTTTAAAATTCTCTCTCTCTCTCTCTCTCTCTCTCTCTCTCTCTCTCTCTCTCACACACACACACACACACACACACACACACACACACACACACACACACATACCCTTTGAGGAAAATTTTCCTAAGAAGGAGGAAAAAAACAAAACAAAACCACACATGGCAAAAGTCATATGCACAGACGTCCAAGGGAAGAGTCCTTACAAAGGAACATTGTAAAAGCCCAGGTATTGTGCTGAGGCATGAATGACTCCCTGGCTCAATGTTGTGATCCTGGTTAAATAGTTCAGAGGGTCTAATAATAGTCATATAAACTCTAAACTAGTTTGAGTGAGCTTGTTTTTTGTCAGTTTGAAGGTGTGGAGTATGCTAGGGATCAAACAAGCCAGGCCTTTGTGTATAACTGTTCTAGCACCAAGTTTACTCCTCAGTTCTGAACTTAATTTTTAAAATTTACAGCACAGAACTGTATATTTAGTGTGTGAGTGCTGTCTGTAGCTGTGCAGAATTGAACATTCTGTTAACACCTCAACACTTTGTCTTTTCTAAAAGGTGGGTCTAGAAGACACAGCTAAAGGAGTGTGAGTAGTGTGAACAGAATGCAGTTTCTGAACATTACTGGCGTGAAGCTTAAAGCGGACCTTGAATAAATCAACTTCATCTCCCTGCTAGGACACTGCTGTGTTCATTTAAGCTTTGCCTTAAGGGAAACAAGAGGTAGTTTGCTTGTCCAAGCACCCTACACTATAAGCATGATATTCAAGAACCATTTTTCTTTTTCTAAAACGCCTGTCTTCTGTGCTTGCAGAGTCGAGTTGCCAGGCTTTGGAGAGCTCCTTCTCCTCTTAGTACCCAACTTGTCCATGGAATGCACTTGCTTAACCAAGCAGTGTAGAAAAACAGTAGCTGTCTGACTGAGACACACACACACATTCATGCACACTCTGCCAGACTGACTTTTGACTTCCTGGTTTCTACCTCAGCCCTCTTGAGGAGCTCCTCTGCCTCCCGTCCTTAGTTATCCTAGCATGCATTTATGAGGTACTGCTTATGTCAGTTGTACTTTTACCTGTGAAAAGAAAGACTGCTGCTTTTAATAAGCCAGATTTCAACAGTTTGCAAATTTAAGCAATTCCCCTTGCTCCTGTGTAAATCTGAGGCTGTCCCTGAAAGAGCGTTTTCATCAAATGAATGGGAATTTAACAGGAGCATAAACTTGGTTCAAGTTTTAGTTATCTTTTCACAAAGACTATGGCGTTTGTGGAGTGACAGATTTTTTTTTTACATATGCCAAAATATGTTACCGTGTAGTAGCACTCTGACTTAACAGATGATTAAACAGGTAACTTATTAGTGTTTCCCAGAGTTAAAGTATTAATGTATTTAAACCCTTTCCTTGGCTTCCACATGAAGTAGTCAGTGTAACTGGTTTGGTTTGATTATCATGTACATGTGTGAATTGTAAGATCACAGGAGCAACTGATAGGGGAGGGAAAAGCAGACTCTCAGGCTCAGAGGCATTGGGTAGTGAAGCATGGTGAAGTCTCTGGATGCCATTGGATGGGATTTCACAGAGGTCAACCACCCTGCCTGTAGACTTAGTGTGTGCACTGGGAGTAGGGCTGCCCAGCGGAGTTGGGGAGGTGGAGCTGTGGAGAAAGGTAGGACTAAGTTCCAGAAATAGCTGTGTCTGTGCTATATAGGTCTTTATTGTGATGGCCAAGGGGATTACCAGTAGGGGTATGAAGTGATGCTGACAGTATTAAGTTGATTAGTCAGCTAGCTGAAGGAAGGAGGGAGGGAAGGATTTAAGACAGGAACAATCCAAGCAGAGGGTGAGGTTCTAGAAGACAAGGACAGGTGCAGAGAGAGAGTTTCAAGAATGCACAGGTAGGATGGTCTGACTTGATAGTTGAACTTAGAAGCCGAAGGAAGTGGCAGTATGTGTACTGACCTCATGGTCAGGAAATGAGGCCTGACACTGAGCAACCCTGTATGAGTAGAGCTAGAGAAGCCATTCCAGTTGAATGTCCAATCAGATGTGCTCACATGGGCCTTCCCTGGGGTAGCAGGATGGAGAGGAGAGCCAGCCAGCAGCTGCTCTAGGTTGTCCCCTTACTACTTAAGATCACTTGGAACACATTTCCAGTGGCTTGAGATGCCTATGAGCCTCTCTCTAGGACTAGGGAAACAGAAGCTAGCCATGCTCAGCTTTCCTTATTAAAGCGCAGTTCTGCCTGCCACTGCAAAGCATTGCATTCTTGGGCAGATCACCAAGCTTGAACCAGAAGAAAGTTGGATAGGGCCTGCAGTCTGGTAGTTCTGCTATATTCAAGGAGAATGTAGAGAAAACAGGTTTTACTCAGTTTATGCTCAAAAATGAATATAACCACCTTCCCAATCCTAATGGTAAAACTAGTGAGGTGCCTTAGTATTTCATAATATGCCTGTTCCTCTTTCTCAGCCCCTAAGGAACAACTGAGCAGTGATGACTGCTGCTCTCAAGTATAATCTTGCTGCCATATTTTGACTTTTCAAGAGAAGCAAGATGCAGAATGGATCTGAGTCCTTACTGTGTCTTGTGACTATTCCCCAACTTTAATTCATAATACAGTGTAATAAAGATCTAGTATGCTTTCCAAAATGACATCTTCTATTTCAAAGTCTTCCCAAGTGGTTCCCCTACCCCATTTTTGGTTTGTTGAAGAACTTATTTGGGGACTGAAATCTCCAAATCTCTAACTTCATTGCTTCACGTCTAGTCGTCTCTCCTAATGCCTCCTGGACTTAGTCTTGTCCTTCTGTGCTGGTGATCTGGAACCTACCAACCCAGATTCAGGAACTCAGAATGGTATCTTCCTCTCCTGTCTCACAGCCACATTTGCTTCAGCCATCTTTGTGACTTCCGATTAAACACAAAATTCCTGAATGTGCTTAACCACAAGATAGTCTGTGGGTGAAATCATGAGTTTACAACCAAAGTCTTAGAGAAATGCCTGTCTCCCCTCTCCCACTGTGGACCATTAAGATAGTCCATTAAAATAGGAGTGGTTAGCAGAAGTAAAAGCCTCGAGGAGAACTCAGCCAGGTGTACATTGGCCACCCGTGAGCCTTTCCCAGCCACATGCTGTTTGGAAGTGTACAGCATTTGAAAACTTAGTAAACTGTGTTGGGATTTCACAGAGAGCAACCACCCTGTCCGTTACTGGAGCTTCACTTTGCTATCTGGACTGGACTTTCATCAAAATATGACACTAATGCAAAGAGACTGATTATGCGAGTTTCATGCTTTGTAAGAATTTTTTTTTTAATTATTTAATTTTTTGAGATGGACTTTCTGTGGAGCCAGCCCCTGACTGTCTTGGAATAGTGTTGTGTAATGTGCCTCTGCCTCTGCTTCCTGAGTGCTGGGACTAATTGTTAAAGGAGACCTAGAAACTGGATTTTCATTTGGTAGTTCTTTTCTTAAACACTTGTTTAGATGAGTGGTATTACTAAGTGGTAAAATTAGTATTTTTTTTAAAACAGTCCATGGATATATAAAAATAATAATTTTATATAAAAAATTTAAGTGTTATAATTTGGCTTTTTCTTTCTTTTGGTAACAGTCTCCTATAGCCCAGGTTTGTCTCTAGCTCACTGTGTAGCCAAGCATAACTTTGAACTCTGCTCTCCCTTCCTCCACCTTCTGTGTGCTGGCAGTGCAGGTGTGCACCACTGCACACAGTTGATCAGTGCTGGGTTGGAGTCCAGGACTTCATACGTGCCAGGCAAGCGCTGCTAACTGAGCCCCATCTCCAGTCCAAGTCTGTTATCATTTTGCTTTGTTTTTATTTTTTTACAGCTTGCATTTTATTAACTAAGTCTTTTAAAGCCACAAAACATTGAAGGTGTTTGATAGTTTGTCTCTAAAATTTTAAATATACCACAGAAATATAACCTGCCACATAAATCTTCATTTCAGTTTGTCTCATGAGGCAGTTGAGGTGTGTTGTTCTCAAGGCTTTTCAGTGTTTACATTTGATACATTTTCTTGATTGTTACTGTTGTTTAGGAAAACTGAAGCCATGTAACTCAGTAGATGCCAGAAAATTACTAGCAGTACATTGAGTTATTTGTTTAAAATCATATTTCACTTTGGCTGTCCATTTACAATTTCAAGTGATGGTATGTGATTATGAAAGATTACCAAGTTTTTTTTCTTTTGTAATTTAATGTGCAGTTACGAGGAAAGTAAATTCTCACATCTTTTCTTTTGCTTTTAGGATTTTCTCATTCCGCGTTTACCTTTGGTATAGAGAGCCATATAAGTCAGTCCAATATAAATGGTGCCCTTGTCCCACCTGCTGCATTGATCTCTATCATCCAGAAAGGCCTACAGTATGTAGAGGCAGAAGTTAGCATAAATGAGGTAAGGCAGATGAGTTTCATTTCAAACGTTGATTCTGGTTCTTAATGTGTTTGTTTATTCAGTATCTGACCTTGATTTCACTGGGTTCAGGCAGATTGTTGTTGTTCCTAATGTACAGCAGGTTGCACCAGCTGTGCATGTGGGCTTCTACACAGTGACTGGTGTCCCTAGGTTATTCCTTTGGGGAGGGGGGAGGGGGGAGAGAGAGAGAGAGAGAGAGAGAGAGAGAGAGAGAGAGAGAGAGAGAGAGAGAGAGAGAGAGAGAGAGGTTATACTTTAAGTAAGTGCAAGGAAATAATTTTTAACACATAAGAAACTGCTGTATAGTACTGGGAACAAATGGATGACAAGGGGTTGGAAAGCCATTGTTACTTTCATGTACCCTTATGGAAGCCAATTATATATAATTGTTGCCAATTCTTGCTGCTCAGAGCTGCATGTCTGAGGTTCATGTGTAAGTAGTGTGTTTGTTTCAGGTATTGGCATGCTACTGGTGCCTGAGAATCTTAACCTGCTCCCTAATTCTATAAATCAGCTTTGTAACAAAGCCAAACTCATTTACTTTTGGACTGTACAGGTGGATACTGGGAACATGAAGTGCTGAGACAAGGATCTTACGGTCTTCAAAACACACGCTGCCTGCTCTTTCCTAGAAGTCTGCAGAACTTTGTTCTAGCCAGAAAGTTTAATATATATACAGGATTCAGGACATGTTGAGGAATTCCCTTTATTTTTTAATTGAGAAGTGAACACGCCCCACCCCCACCTCCCAAAGTGAATGGAAGGGTTTTAGCTGTTTAAAGCAGTCTGGGCACTTCTTGGTATCCTCAAGGATGGGTCCCACATTGCCACAGTTAGCACCATCTGCAAGTGCTCTAGACTTACACCAAATGGCAAGTTTGTATATCACACACATCTAGATCGCATACATGTTGTGATTGTTACCCTCTAATATTTAAAGAAAACCAACAAGGAAAACCTCTGCCCTGGTTCTGTACAGGTGCACTTATTTATTCTAAGGCCTGGATTCAGAGTACTGATGGAGATGCTGCCTCCTTGTTTATAACCTAGTCTTACTGGTTGATGTTTTTTACTAGCAGCCTTCTTTACCTGAATTCTTTGTATTTGCATTTTATTATCTGTTTAAGCTTTTATGAGTGGCCTCTTAGTTGAGCAGGATCTAGTGAAGCGTAGATGCTGTCTACATCTGCCTCTTGCAGTGCTCTTCTTCCCTTCCCTCCTTCCTGTTCAGGCTCAGAAATTACTAGGTTTTCTCCAGAACGAAGCCCTTCATTCTGTTAGTGGAATGCATGTCACCCTCAAAGCTGCATCTCATTTTTCTTTCCTGGTTTTCCAACCTCAGGATGGCACCTTATTTGATGGCCGACCCATTGAGTCTCTGTCCCTGATAGATGCTGTTATGCCTGATGTAGTCCAAACAAGACAACAAGCCTACAGAGACAAGCTTGCACAGCAGCATGCAGCCGCTGCTGCAGCTGCCGCTGCAGCCACTAACCAGCAAGGATCTGCAAAAAATGGAGAGAATACAGCAAATGGGGAGGAGAATGGAGCACATACCATCACAAGTGAGCTAAGAATGTTTAGAGACTCTCAGAAAACACTTTGCCTTACTAGAATGTTCCATTCTTAGAGCTGAAATGATACCCAGTGTTTACCTCTATCCCCAACTTACATCACACAGTTCAGATTTTACACCTAAGGTTCCAAAAAGCTAAATTCATTGTATATTCCTTTAAGATGTTTCTGAACCCCTTTTCTACTCTTAAATGAATTTAGAATCTGCATTTGATTTCTAGGTAAAATTTGCAATATTCTCTGTTAAACGTATAGTAAGGCTCTGACATTGAGGAATAGAGATGAATCTCATGTTATATGAATGATATCAGCAACCCCTACTGGCAGAAACTCAGAATCGTATTGTTGTAGACTGTTGAAATCAGCCACTTTATCATTTCTGCCATGCTGAGGTTCACTCCTTTTTATCCACCCCTTTTCTCGCTTGCCACTTCCATATCCACTTCTGTGTCCATGAACACTCACATGGTTAAAACTAATACAATCACACTTGCTAGAAATGTGATTCCCTCTGACAAAGACTTGCTTCTCATGATGCAGATAATCACACCGACATGATGGAAGTAGATGGGGATGTTGAAATCCCTCCCAATAAAGCAGTTGTGCTTCGGGGCCATGAGTCTGAAGTTTTCATCTGTGCCTGGAACCCTGTTAGTGATCTCCTGGCATCAGGGTAGGTTTTTCAAAACAGCTTCTAGATGTTGGGTATTATTTTGTTTGGTTTTAGACAAGGTTTACTGTTTAGCTGAGGCTAGCCTTGAACCATTGACCCTCCAGAGTCCTGGGATTAATAGGCGTGCTCCACTATACCCAGCTGTACAGTACCATTTAAGGTGACCTTACTGAGTGGGCTGCTGTGTATTTTATATATATATATTTCACTTTCCAGAAACTTGTTGCTTCCTTGTGGTCATGTTGCCTTAGTAAATTAGTTTTTTTTTGTTTTTTTTTTGTTTTTTTTTTTTTTTTTTGTGAAGTAACTTTAGAATTACTTGGTAGGGGCTCTAAAATGTAGAATAGGAAAAATATTAGAAATGTTTATGCTTGGTAGTCTGCTTCTTATTCAGATGCTAAATGTATGGGTTGAATTCTGGAGTACTTGAGAGTGTCAAGAGAACTTAAACCTGTTTTTGGACTTTGAAGGTCTGGAGACTCCACAGCAAGAATATGGAATCTCAGTGAGAACAGCACAAGTGGCCCCACGCAGCTGGTGCTCAGACACTGCATACGGGAAGGAGGACAGGATGTTCCCAGCAACAAGGATGTCACTTCTCTAGATTGGAATGTGAGTGCTCTCTTCTTGTTTTAAGTGGTCTGTGAATGAAGGCATTTGAGGATTTGATACTATACAGTCAACCTGGCTCCATGTTCCTAAAGTCCTAATCAGAATTAAAAAATCCTTAGGAAGAGTTTGCTTTTCACTTCTTATAAAAGTATTTTGATGTCCTTCTAGTCCAATACCTGCCCCTGCCCTCACTCATGGGCATCTGAAAATGTTCTGCAGAGGGATACTCTCAGTACTACACCACAGCGGTTACTACCAGCGCTCAGATTTGGGGTGGGCCTTTCAAAGAACACTGGCTTCATCAGGGAAGGGCGATCCTCACCTTTGTTGGCACTCACACGTAGACAAGGGTCTCCTGTGCCTGGGACATATTTGTAGTAATTAGATGGCCTTAATTGTATAATGAACAGAGTGTATTTCCCGGGCAGAGTGAAGGCACACTTCTAGCAACTGGGTCATATGATGGATTTGCCAGAATATGGACTAAAGATGGTATGTATTTTTCTAACTTTATTGATGTTCTAAGTTATAAAATTTGAAGTGATTTTAAAGGTTTTTGTTTTTTTAACTTTAGGTAATCTTGCCAGCACCTTGGGGCAGCATAAAGGCCCTATATTTGCATTAAAATGGAATAAGAAAGGAAATTTCATCCTAAGTGCTGGCGTAGATAAGGTAAATGAACATTTAGCTAAGCTCTATAAGGACTGTATTTGAAAGTAATTGTTTTCTTTGCTGATAATCACTTAAACAGACTTTAGTTCATTCAAGTATGAATTAGTGACAGTAATAGAAATAATTTCTTGTTGTCTGCTTGTTCTCCCGAATCGACTCATCATAGCTTTTGTTGATATGACCACTCTTCATTTTTGCTGGGATTGGAACCTAATGAAATGTCATCACTAAGTACTTTGTGCTTTCCCAGTTTATCTCAGTGGTGACCGTGGCTTTAGAGTGACTCTGTGGCCATCCATGTTCTCCTGTGCTTATTGAAACAGTTCCTTCCTTGCTTTGGGAAGTGAATAGAAACTGGTTGGAACTGGCTCCTCTCTCCTTCATTCCCCCTCTACCACACCTCCCTAAAAAGAGGTTAGTTTAAGACTTTTGATTCAGCAAAGAACAGGCAATTAATCAGTTGGAGGATGTTGGGGGAGGGGCATAAACTGGCTTAGACTTACAGTTTTAGTGAGTGGTTTTAATAAAGGGATGAAGGAATCTGGGGAGGGAGAAGAGCCAGTACTTGTCTCTGTCATAGGCAGCTTCAGGACCTGCCTGTAGTGGTATCAGAAATGTAAATAGCCTTTTTTTTATTTTTTTGTTGACCACGTAAGCTTCAAAAAAGAAACATTTCAGTATTTCGAACTAGGTGATTTGACTATAACCTTTTAAGTCCAGAGCTGTAAAAACTCATATTAAATGCACATTGCAGTGAAATCTTTTAAGCAGTTTAATACAATGTCAGACACTTTGTTGACAAACAATAATTGTTAATGAAAGTAAGTTGGTGAAAAATGACGGGAAAGTTAAGCTGCATCATGGTCATTTCCCCCGACCTGAGTGTGAGTGCAGATGGCCTTGTGCTGTGAGGAGTAAAGACAGCGAAGAGGAAGTTCATTCTAAAGTTTCATTCTGCCTCAGGACAGTCAGGCATCCATTCTTGAACTCACACACTCTTTAACATCAGAGAAATTAATTTTTCTTTTCCTTTTAATCTCAGACTACCATTATTTGGGATGCACACACTGGTGAAGCTAAGCAGCAGTTTCCTTTCCATTCAGGTAAATCTTGACAATGCACACGGAAGCTGAAGCGCTCTTCTGTTTCTCTAATTAGAGTTTTGGCCTCGTGGACGTCATTCAGGACCTTGAGTGTCAGACAGCATTCTTAGTACCAGTTCTCTTAGGAGGTGTGCCACAGCTTTCAGGTGTTTCCTTTTCTGTGAAGTGTACTGTAAGAAAGCACCCGAGTGGTGTGGTTAGGGGTGGTGTTGTAGAATTGGAAGGTCTGGCCATGAATGTATGTTCTCCACTTGAGACGCTCCCACGTCACTTAACCTTTGGAGCCTCATTTTCACTATATGTAAGTGAGGGTTCTTGATAGCCATTTAGTTATTGCAAGAATAAGAAAAATGTCTTACGTGGGGATAAATTCAACTGTTAACAGGTTTACACATTGCCATCTTATGCATTTTTGATTGATGTGTCTGTGCAATCAAAGATAGGCTTTCTCTGTCTTCTGTGGGATTCTTCCTGTGTGGTGCACACCCATGTTCTGGGTAGGTAGCTCAGTGCCATCAGTTCCTTCAGCCTGGAACCACTGCACCTGTTCTGACTGACTAATTCTGTTATCTGAGAAGTCAGGGAGGATCAAAATCTTGCTATATGTCCCAGGCTGGCTTCAAACTCATAACACTCTTCCTTCTTCAGCCTCCAGAGTACTGGAGTTATAGGTGTGTACCATTATGTTTGGCTTCTTATTGAATGTCTTGATTTCAGTAACTAAATAATGTTGACTGCAACAAGATGCATGAGGACGGTCAGAGCAGTCTTTTTAGCGTTACCTGATAATAGTTGCTGCTTCGAGACTTGTGCTCTGAGGTTCTACACTGGAAGCTGACCAGGTGGCGGTGGTTGTCATCCTCATGTCTTTAGTAATGAACAGCCACTTTCAAAGAGCTAGAAGTGCAGCTGTGACCAAACAACTAGGAGCAAAATGTTTTTTCAGTATGATCTGGGTAGAGTGGTTTGCAGACGTTGTATTAGACACCAAATATTTTAACTCTATCAGAGCTTACCACACTGATTCACATTTATACAGCACCCTTATTACCTCTTCTGCTTCTGTTCACCCTGGCTTCTAGTCCTTTCCCAGGTAGACTATTCTTTGGTCTCTGGGTAGTCTCACATTTCCTCATACTTCCTGGGAGTGATATAAAGTTGGAGGGGTGGGGGAACGTGTGCATGCTTAGCCACAGTGCAATGAATGCCACCCATTTAAGGTGTTCCTCAGTATATTTTCTCAGACTTCTGACCCGAGCTTGCTGAGGGATAGAGTTAAGCCTCTGACCATTTGTTCCTACCTCGTGTATGCATGTGCACATGTGTGTTATGAGATACTGGGCTAAGGGATATGATGCTCTTTTATATAAGAACCAGAACACAAATAAGAACCTGAGAGGGAGGGGTTGGGATGAAGAGAGAGAATGGGAGGGAACTGAAGTTTTTCAAAATAAGAAGTTTGTATTTTAACAAAGTTCTGCTGAGAAATAATTGACATATAATGGACTGGATGTATTTGCCTTGTAATTGTTACATATGTATATACCGTTGAAATCACCATCACACTGAAGGTACAGCTACACCTGTAATCAGGCTCCCTCCTGATTCTCTGTGATGTCATTCTCCAAGCAATCACATTTGGTCACAAATTTTAAAAATAATGAAAAACTCTGAGCACCATTGGCCATTAAACATGCCAGTGAGTTGTCAAAGAACAAATTTTTAAAAAAGAAAAATACTAGTAAGAAGTAAATGTGCCTTCTTTATAGGTTTATTCTTTGCAAAAAATCATGGAATGTTTGTGGATTAATAAAAATAAATCAGAATAGAAGAGAGAATTTTTCATTTTAGCTCTAAGACTTTTGAAACTGTATGATAAAAGTATCATGCAGGGAAAATTACTTCACCTTTCTTAACTTCCTCTAAATGTGTAAAGTGTGACCATAATAATAAACAGACCTTTCACATACTGGGTTTGTTTTAGTTTAGATTTGTGGTCCCAAAGAACTTACACTGCTTGGCCTCTCTTAGGCCAAGGCCTCTCTTAGGTCTTTTTCCCTAGCGCTTCCCTGGGTTGGTTTCAAAGTGAGGCACACTTTCATCGTAACACTCAGTTCAGCGTTCCTAGCTGAATTTCTTAGTTATGCGGTTTGTTTTTGTCCCTGAACCCAAGGTATGTCTTGCTAAGTGCAGCTGGCTATTTGCCAGCCGCCTCTCATGTTTGCAGCCACTCCGGCTCTCATAGGTCGTGTCAGATATTTGGCCTTCTTCATACTTTTTTGTGTGTAATTATCTATTTTCTAAAATAATTAAAAATTCCAGCTACCTCCTCCTACCTTATTTCCCACTTCTTAGTGTTAGAATTATTTTTTTTAATTAAAGAAATAAATTTAAATACCATTTAAAAGAATGGTAGTTAATGTTAATATTGCAATGTTTACTGAATCAAGATTTTGGCAGGAAGACGGTTTATACTTGGGAATCCAAGAAAAGGACTTCAGCAGAAGGAAGTCATTGTAGCAGTGTTGGGAAGAGGGACCATTAGGGGTAGTGAGGTCACACCAGAGAGGAGCAACTGCAAGAAAGAGACTGCAGAGCGATGGAAGGTGCTGCTAATCCAGTGGGAATCTGAACCACCGAGAAGAGGCTGCCCAGTGACAGCAGGCTAAGCAAGTGGCAACAGCAGTGTGTCTAGGGCCTTGGGCTCCTGACCTTCTCTTCTAGCAAGTGGCAACAGCAGTGTGTCTAGGGCCTTGGGCTCCTGACCCTCTCTTCTCTGAAGCACAAGCAGGACTAGGAACCACAGGAAGTGGAGGGCAGCTTGTTAGCCTTGTGGTCAGGGTGAACCTGAGGGCAGCCTGAAGAGAACTGCCATGCCAGCAATCACATGCTGCTGACCAGGGTGGCCACATCCGCTGGCTGATGGCAGGTTGCACTCCCTGGAAGTCATACCTATCCACATGTGAGAGTGAAGTAAGAGATGGGTTTAGGAAATTTCTGTGAAATGCAAATGGGGAAATATCCTTCACCTTCCTCTTTCTTCTTGTCTCTAAGTGGGGTTGACAGACTATCAAGGTTCAGAAAATAGCTTTTTCTAGTTTGGCAGACCATAGGAATTGTGTCTTACTGGGGCTAAGTCTAAATGTGCTGTTATTTCCCCTGTGAAAACCCCTTCACCACAGCTGCCTGGAGGGTGAAGACAGTGTTCTCCATGTGTTCACACTTAACCCAGTTACAGAGCCATTGCTGCTTGCTGCCGGGGAAAGGACATCTGCAGTCCTCTCTGAGCTGAAATCGGGCTGCATACTAAATTCTAGCCAACTTTTGGACTTTAGAGATTTTAAATTTAACCATTTTAAGAGTCATTTGATTTTTCTTAAAAAGGAATTTTACAAGAGTTATTTAGAAGAAAATATATTTGTGAATTATATGCAGTGTCCTTGTTTCGGTGGAGTAGTTAGTTAACAATGGGAATGACTCTGAGCACCATTTATCTGAGTTGCAATCTGTAGCATTCTTCCTACAAGCGGCTCCTTACTTGGTCCTAGCAGCAAGTGGTGTTGCCCCAGGGTCACCAGTGACTTCCTTGGCTTAAAACAATAGCAGTGATAAAACCAAAGCTTCTGCCGATCATACATGCACAGGTAAATAAAATAGAAATAAAAAGAGTTAATCACCAGTCTAGACTTTTATTGTTACACAGAAGAGAAGCCAAGACTCAGTGTTCCGGTGCACAGTGTGAGTGATTGAGTGCAGTGACCACACAGCTGAAAGTTATTGGCATTTTTGATACTTAGATAGCTTTATCTTTTTTTAATTGTTTCTTTGTACCTTAAAAAGCGTAAAGTAGGGACTGAGAGATGGCTCAGTGGTTAAGAGCATTGGCTGATTTCCAGAGGACCTGGGTTCAATTCCCAGCACTCACATGACGGCTCACAATTGTTTATAACTCCAATTCTAGGGAATCTGATGTCCTCACACAGACATACATGCAGGCAAAACACCAGTGCACATTAAAAACAAATATAATACACACACACACACACACACAAATTGTATATAAAAGTGCAAAAAAATACTTACTGCTTAGAATTCTTAATATCTAGCCATGCTTCAGAGTTAACTCGTGTGTGACCCTCCTGTGCACAATGCAAGCCTAACCTGTGTTGCTTTCCAGCCCCAGCACTGGATGTTGACTGGCAGAGCAACAACACCTTTGCATCTTGTAGTACAGATATGTGCATTCATGTCTGCAAATTAGGACAAGACAGACCTATCAAAACATTCCAGGGACACACGGTAAGAAGTCATTTCTCTCCTGTAAAATGATTATTTTGAGCAAGTAGTATTTCAGAATAGTTTTTGAGTATGCATATTAAATAACAGCCTGTTCTATAAAATGAAAATATAAATATTTACTGCTGTTTTTAGAATGAAGTAAACGCTATCAAATGGGACCCAACTGGCAATCTCCTGGCCTCGTGTTCCGATGACATGACCTTGAAGGTAATTCTGGTAGTGCGTGCTTTAGGGTGAAGTGTGTCCCATATGTGACTAGGCATTTCCAGGTGCTTTTTTTTTTTTTTTTTTTTTTGAGTCAAGGTCTCACAATGCCCTGGAACTCAATTATGTAGACCAGGCTGGCCTTGAATTCAGAGTCTGCCTCCTGAATACTGGGATCAAAAGCATGTACTACCTACCACATCTGGCTTAGGCTTTTTAAAATGCCCTTTTGATACTTAAAACCTAAATGGAAGACTTTAGCTTTTTAATGGTTAATTTTTCCCCCTGGAATACTCAGATATGTGACTATAGTAAATTCTATTAATAGAATGGCTGTACAGGTGTATTGTGCTGCTGTACTTGTCACAGTTCTCACTGGTAAGGAGGCAATAAGAGCATACATTAATCTATAAGAGACTTAGGAAGAAAATCTATACACACAATCATGGAGGCTGGGACTTCCTATTCTTTGCTGTCTTCAAACTGGATGCCCAGGACAGCCAATGTCTTAGTTACTTTTCTATTGCTGTGCTAAGACACCATGATGAAGGCAACTTTTTTTTTTTTTTTTTTTTTTGGTTTTTCGAGACAGGGTTTCTCTGTGTAGCTTTGCGCCTTTCTTGGAACTCACTTGGTAGCCCAGGCTGGCCTCGAACTCACAGAGATCCGCCTAGCTCTGCCTCCCGAGTGCTGGGATTAAAGGCGTGCGCCACCACCGCCCGGCCGACGAAGGCAACTTTTAGAAGAGTTTATTGGGGTGAGTCCTTGACCATTGTGGCAAGGAGCATGGCAGCAGGCAGGCAGACAGGCATGGCACTCGCCTATATCAACAACTGTGACCGCAGAGAGAGAGCGCTTAAATGGGAATGGGGTTTTTAAATCAGAAAGCCTACCCCCATTGATACACATAGTCCAACAAGGCCACACTTTCTAATCCTTCCCAAATAGTCACACCAACCAGGGACTAAGCGTTTAATATATAAGCCTACGGGAGCCGCTCTCACTCACGCCTCCACAGCCAGCCATGCAGTTCCAGACTTGAAGCTCAAGGCCTGAGAAGCTGGAATGCTGGCCAGGGCTACAGGGTAAGGGCCAGGCAGAAGGTCCATATTTCAGCTCGATAGTGAAGCTAGAGAAGATAGTGGTTGCTGTCTACATAAATACTGCCCACCCCTATGGAGAATGCAGTACGCTGTGTTCTTTCTTACTGAGAAACAAGTATCTGGATTCTCCATGACTCAATCAAGTTGAGACAGGGCACTAACCATTTAGGAGCACAAATGTGATGTGACTAAAAGCAAAACTTAATACCTTTCCTACCACAGGAAGTGAAAACATAATTGTAAGGTAAAGACTAGCCTGGTGCCAATCTCTAGAATGACTGGATGTTTGTGCCTCCTCATGCCACACATGCTCTCCTGAAAACATTGTATCCTCAGCCTTGCAGTATCAGTGACTGTAGTCACAACCCTTAAAAGTAGGATAGTCATGCAGGGAAAAAAATCACTTTTACTGTGTACAAACTAGGTATTCCTTTCCCTCCCTTCATCCTGAGAATCAGATGGAGGACTTGGGTGTGCTAAGAAAGCATGCCAATGCTGAGCTGTGTCTTTCTCCTTTGTATTTTTGAGTCAGAATCTCACAATGTAGCTTATGCTGGTCTTGAATTCGAGGTCCTTCACATCCTACCAAGCACTGGGTATAGGCCTATACCACCACACTAGCTTAATTGTCTTGTCTTTGGGTTTTCTTCTTATGCACGTGCATTAAAGCTTGTTATTTTGTCTCACCCCCACCCCCACCCCCGGAGCTGAGGACCGAGCCCAGGGCCTTAGTGCTCTACCACTGAACTAAATCCCCAACCCCTGCATTAAAGCTTGTACTGTGGAAGGAGGCCAGTATCCAGAGAAGCTTGTGTCATGGATTGAGCTTCAAGCTGAACAGCCTGGAATTAGACACCTCAGGCTCTAAACTGGAGCTTTTCTTAACCTTACAAAGAATTTGGAGTCACAAAAGATTCCAAAGCAGAAGTAGAATGAGTAGTGTGTTATGAACAGCAGGCGATAGGATGATAAACCTCAAGAACAGAGTTCTAGATCAAGAAAATGACCAAAGAAGATAGAGGATGTAAAGAAGATTGGAAGGGGTATGTCAGGCTTGTCTGTGCTGTTGAAAAGACCAAAGAAAAAAGTTGTAGAAATGTGTGGTCAGATTCATTTCCTATGATTGTGTACATCTAAGTTACAAAGCACTGTGGTATTGTTCTCTTAGCTGTTTATGGCATTTCCAGAGAGAGGGAGGGGGTAGGGAGGGAGAGGGAGGGAGGGAGAGAGGAGAGGTGAGGGAGGAGAGAGAGAGGAGAGGTGAGGGAGGAGAGAGAGGAGGGAGGGAGGGAGAGAGAGAGAGAGAGAGAGAGAGAGAGAGAGAGAGAGAGAGAGAGAGAGAGAGAGAGCGCATGCATGTACATTGAACCCAGGGCCTCACGCAGACTGAATTACTATGTAACCCTAGTCCAAGGACTTTCTAAATGTTAAGGTTTGTGCAATTTACAGCTATTCAAAACAATCTTAGAACAATTAGAGGTAATTAATCCAGCCTTCAAGTTTTGCAATAAGGAGTATTTGTGAAGAATTTAATACATTTTTATGGAATAATGTTAAATACATTCAACTACTTTTAAATTTTTTTGTGGTCCTTCCTCTGATGTTTGCTTATGTGACTCATTTTGTATAGAAAAGATAGCACTTTTAAATGTATCTGTTGTATAGAAAAATCACCAAGTTTTTTCTTTTGGTAGATTTGGAGTATGAAGCAAGATAACTGTGTTCATGATTTGCAAGCACATAATAAAGAAATTTATACTATTAAATGGAGTCCAACAGGACCAGGGACAAATAATCCAAATGCCAACCTTATGCTAGCAAGGTGACGTGTCTGTTTCACTTTTCTTATTGAATCTCTCACGAATAAAAACTTTGGGAAAATATGGCAGAAAACAGGGAGCACATCTTGAGGGGAATATATTTCAATGGGAACCTTTAACCATGGTATTTTTAACATTAGTATTTCAGGACTTAATGGCTTTTTTTAAAAAAAAATTTAATCTGTTGAATAAAACCCAATAATTAGGCTTGGCTTGTGTTTATAATCCAGCACTTAGGCCAGTGTGCCTAACATAGTAATCAACTTGGACTCTATAGCGACCCTATTTCAGCGAACATACAGATCGTTGGGGCATAAAATAATAAAACTATTGTGTCTGCAGCTTTTTTTTTTTTTTAAAGAGAGAGAGATAAATCCCAAAATACAGTCAGTTTAATACTCAGAACCACGGACCGATAACCTGGACCATTGGGAGGATAGTGAGTGGACAGGAGCCAGGGCTTCAGCTTTTTCCTGTTTCCCTTCCAGTTTTTATAGTACTGGGATTTTAACAGTGTAATCTGCTAGCGCTTAAGGATTGGCAGAATGTGGGAGGCTGCGGACAAGGCCAAGAGAATATTTGATTACTTATAAAATTTTTCCCTTCCATTTTCAGTGCATCCTTTGATTCTACAGTTAGGTTATGGGACGTAGACCGAGGGATTTGCATCCATACTTTGACAAAACACCAAGAGCCCGTGTACAGTGTGGCTTTCAGTCCTGATGGCAGATATCTGGCAAGCGGTTCTTTTGACAAGTGTGTGCACATCTGGAACACACAGGTATGTCCCAGTAATTTAAAGTCAACTACACTTACTGAGTTAAAAGCATTTACCTATTTACTTATAGTTTGGTTATTCCTCATGTAACATCAGTTTAATTCTTAGTTTTAAAAACCTGAGAGTACATTGGGGGCACTTTAGAGCTAAATCAACACTGATTGAAAGTTGCATTTTTATGCACAAATCAGAATTTAGAATTAGATCTCTTGTTTTATTCTTGAACAGCATAGTAGATATGAAATGAAGAAGCTTATGATGCACTTGACGTTTGTTGAGGTTAAAAGACAAAATTGCACGACTGAACCAGATTTAACACCCTGCTGCCTTTTCTGGGATGGTACTGTAAAGAGATGCCCCCAAAATAGAAGCCAGCATGTTGCTTTTGCTTTCACATTTACAGCTTTTCAGTGTGTGAGCTTTTGTGCTCCATACACTGCCCGCTGTGTTCTCAAGGTTTTGTTGATGTCTGGCATACTAAATACATTACCAGCAACCCTTTCTGTAGCAGATTTCTACCATAGTTAATTTCATGAGTTACTTGAGTATTTTCCATTAAGTGCTATATCCTATGGCTTAGGAAGGTCCGCACTGAGGAGCTTTGGCCATCTCTGCTTTCATGCCCCACAATAACTATTCTTAATAGCTTCTTTTTCGCTCCTACTGAGTAGCTTATAGCACAAAGCACCGTGACTTCTGGGTCACACTCAGCAGAGGTCCAGCTTCTAGGTAGAGGGATGACATTTCAGTGGGGAATGAAGCTGAGTGTTTCCTTACACACTTAAGGGTGTGGGCTGACTTCTCTGAACATTTTTAAAAATTCATTTTAATTTTACTTTAAAAACTAGCATTGAAATTAAAGGGCTCGTTACGGCACTGTTTACATATTTTGTTTTTGTGGAGCCTGTTTCCCACTCCCCTGTCTGGTCCTTCCACCCATCCCTACCTTCACGTCTCTCCAGCATCCATTCCATCTTCATATCACATGGATTAATTACCTTCTTTCCCTATTAAGACTTCTTTAATCCCTTCTCATAACCCCTTGTCTATGATGTCACTAGTTCATGATGTATACTCTACCCACATAAACAAAACACTAAAATCTAAGATCCTCTTGAAAGGAAACATTGTTATTTGTCTTTCTGAGTCTGGCATATTTTGCTTAACAGTAATTGCCATTTCCACCCATTTTCCTGTAAAATGTCATGGTTTTAATTTTTTCTTTAAGTTTATGTAAAATTCCATTCATAAATGTGCTTTCCTTTTCTCTCTCCATTCATCTGTTTATTAACATCCAGGCTAGTTTCATTTCTTGGTCATCTTGAATAGTATAGGAGTAAATGTGGCCGTGCATGTGTGTCTCCGGTGTGTTGACTAAGTCCTTCAGGTGTGTACTCACACCAGCCTGTGTGTGGTCCTGCTCTGATTCCTGTAGTTGTTGGACGAGTTTGCACTCCTGCCAGCGTGCGGACACTTGTTTTCCTCATGGCAGCCATTCTGACTATGGAAATTGGAAGCTCGAAGTAGTTTCAGTCCACCTTTCTCTGATGGCCAAGGATGTTGAAAACTTAGGGAAACAATTATTGGCTGTGTATGTCTCTACTTTTGTCAGTTACTTATTCAGTTAACCATTTATTGACTGGATGAGTTATTTATTCGTTGCTTTTTTTTTTTTATGTGTTCTCTATTTTTCTGTCTGAAATATGGTTGGGACAGATTTCCTCCTGTTTCCATTTCTGTCTACTCTGCTGAGTGTTGGCTTTGCTGCAGAAGCATTGATTTCATGTAATCTCCTTTATCAGTGCTTGGAGTTAATTCCTGTGTAGTTGAGGGTCCTTTTAGAGCATGTCCTTTCCTTTTTCAGCTGGATTGTAGGTAGTTTCAGTTGTTTGAGAGGTCTCACTTTGTAGTCAGGCTGACTTTGAACTTGTCCTGCTTCCCCTTCAAAGTACTGATATTAGAAGCATGTTCCTGGTTTAAAATAAAAATATTCTATCTTAATATCTTACTAAATAATGTCTTACCTCTCTTCTTTCATTTTTTTCTTTATGAACATATGCCAAACAATCTCTGTTGTTATGAAGTACATACTTAAAACCATCATTTCCAAATTTTAACTTTGTGTTCCTAAAAGAGCACTGGTGCATCCAGCTCAAGTTCTGAAAACTGAACAATGATGTGTGCATGGTAGTGAACATAAATATGAATAATATGGTTAACATAAATATCCAGATTTACTTTATAAAGGTATTTTGCCATGTGTGTTGTAGATATCTTTCTTCTGGTTTTCATAGCGATCTCAACTAAATTGTTTTTATTGACACAGCTAAAGTATTTAACTCCTTTCTGCATCAGTCATGAAGAGCTGTCAGCCATTCCCATAGTAAATGTATATACCGTGTGGTAAAATTGTATATAAATGGTATGATATGCTTACATATCATTTTTTTTTCTTTTTAATTGAGACAGGGTTTCTCTGTGTAGCTTTGGAGCCTTTCCTTGAACTCACTCTGTAGCCCAGGCTGGCCTCGAACTCACAGAGATCTACCTACCACTGCCTCCCGAGTGCTGGGATTAAAGGCATGCGCCACCACTGCCCGCCCGCGTACACATCTTTTAAAGCTTGTGATTTGCACTAGTAGTTTCTGGTTTATAATCATACAAGTTCATGAAGGTCTAAAACAGTGGTTTGGTTCATTTTGTTATGCAAATGAATTGCTTTGTCGAATGCTTATATGGATATTATGTTCAAGAGTCTGTGCATATCTCTGTGGGTGCATGTTTGTTTTTGTGTACTCCCAAAAGAAACTCAGTTCATGAGGTGTCTATTCATTCTCAGCTGCTACCAAGCGAACCCATATTTGGTACTTCCATATTTCCTGTATCCCAGATTCTCAGTCTGCTAAACATTTTTGTGGTTTGGTACATGTAATCATACATTCAGTTGCACATTCTGTTTAGAGTAGACACAGTACAGCTCTCCTGTTCATTTTTCACTATTGGTTAGTTGGTGGTCTTTCTATGTTCTGGACATCCTGGGTACCATTGCAGCAGTCTTCCTTTCTGTCTTGTTCACTTATCACTCTTAAGTGAGTGTTCAGATTGGTACTTTTTATAGCTTTGTATATAAACAAATATATATGTACATGTTTATGTCACTGGGGTCTCTGATGTTATTTTCCTTCAGTATTTAAGCTTGATTTTGACTGTGGTCCCTTTGGTATTGATCTGTGTGGTGTAAGATCCATAAAGAAAGTCATCTTTTGGATAGGCAGTTGTCTTGGAGTCATTCATTGTCCCTTACTGTTATCACCTATACCAAGTCCATAAACCATGCACATGGTAGGCTCGCTGCCTGCTCCTTGCCTAATAGTTCAGAAGGTTGCACAGGGACCTTAGTGGTCCCAGGTGAGCACCCTGCACTGAACTGCATCTTCAGCCCCCAGTTCTCTCTTGTGCCTTAGGTACATTTGTACATAGCTGAGTCCACGGTGCAGGCCTAACCACTCTCCATGGTATGTGTCCGGCCCTTGTCATTCTTCATATTTTCTGTTGTTGGCACTTTAATCTTCAGCATTTCTAAAAATAAGTATGTATTTATGGATTTGTTTTTAAGTCTATAGGTTACTTTGAGTTCATTACCCAAGAATATGCTGCATCCCTTTACCTGTCTGTTATTTCTTCAGTAAATTTTTGAGTGCCTTGTGGATTTTACATGTGTGTGAATGCTGTCTTTTAAAGTATGTGTTCTTTTTAGTCGTTGCTAAATGTTCAGAAGATTTTTCCAATTGGAATCCATTATGCCAAAATAATTTCAGTGAAATGTAGCTCATTTAAGGTATGTGGTCAGCTGAGTGCTGTCGTGCTGTCCACTGTTTTGAGCCCCTTTACTTTCTTAAACTTGAGTGTGAAATGGCAGATGGCATCTGGTGGTAGGTACATGCTCTGCTGTTGCTCATAGTGTGTCTCCTGAGTGTATGGTGTATGGGGGTGTGTGTGTGTCTTTTTTCACATAAGATGATGTGACCCACTAACCCTCACATCACAGTTCTGCCTGTGGCATGTTTGGATTCATTATTGTCTGTAGCTAGAGTTTTCCTGCCTGGCCCACAGTCAGGACAAATCTCTGTCACCCGTCCCACAGCTGCTCAGACCCAACCAAGTAAACACAGAGACTTATATTGCTTACAACTGTATGGCCGTGGCAGGCTTCTTGCTAATTGTTCTTATATCTTAAATTAATCCATTTCTATAAATCTATACCTTGCCACGTGGCTTACGGGCATCTTCACATGCTGCTTGTCATGGTGGCGGCTGGCAGTGTCGTGTGTCGTCCCCCCCGCCCTGTTCTCTCAATTCTCCTCTATGTTAGTCCTGCCTATACTTCCTGCCTGGCCATTGGCCAATCAGTGTTTTATTTGTTGACCAATCAAGAGCACGTACAGACCATCCTACAGCAATTGTCCTGCTTCAACTTAGAGATAGATTGGTAGATGTTCTTGATGTGGGTAGGTAGGTAAGTAGGTAAGTAGTTTGGGCAGGTGGGCGGCCATTTGTTATAACCCCACATTCATCCATCTGCTGTAGGTCTACAGGGTTTGCCTTCTACAACTTAGTCACTCTCCGTCTTGCTGGCTGTCCCTTTGTTTTCTCAGTAACCACAGATACTTATGGCTACTATACTCAGCCTTTTTTCATCAGTCTCAAAATATGAAAACTTATAGGAAAGAAGAAAATTTCTCAAATTGCAGTCAGATTTTTCTGATCACACCACATCTGTGGTTTGTACATGGTATCGGGCTAAATTTGAAGAGGAAGTCAAAGCGAAGGTGTTTGAGCCTGTGTGCTAGGATAGTAGTGTGTGAAGGTGTGGCTTTTTGCATTTTGTTCTAAAGGAAATCATCAGATCACCACTGAGCTGCAGGGGCCACTTACGTGCTTTGTCAGAGCAAAGCACCTTCGTAGCTTCTGGCTGCCACTGCACAGCCACTGCCCTCTGCCCTGTGGCTTCACGGGAAAGTACACTTCTGGTCTGACTTTGGTTCTTCAGTAGCAGCTGAACTTTTGTTTTTGTTGGAAGAGTAAAATAGCTATACTTAGCATTCATTTCTGGAAACATTTTTCAGGGGCTTCTGTAACACCCTTCAAGAAGAATGTGTACATCTTTCTTCCTTGGACTGTCCCTGACCCACTCATACTACTCAAGGAAACATGCTGTAAACAGCATGAACACTGTGTCTTTCTTATTTTTTACTTTGTGATGCTTTCTTTTTTGCTGGCAAAATGCATACATCTCTCAGTAACTAGTGTACTTAATATCCTGCCCCTGTAGCTGTTTCAGAGACACTCAAAATCCTAGTGGGGAATGGTCGTGAACACTGGAAAACCAGTTTGTACTGGAACCATCCCTTCAGAAGAGTCTGATCATATCTGTGAAGGGGTTACCATAGCACATTCCTGGAGTTTCAGAACCTGCCTATATTTTTATTTGAAACCAAGTCCCACCTCTGATTGCTAGAAATAATGCAATAATATATTTTTTTATTTTTGACTCATCCTCAGACCCAATCTAGTCATAAGTTCTGTTGTCTTTGACAGTTTGTCTTGAGCCCATATATTGCTTTCTGAATTACTTTATCAAAGTTTATATGAATCACTGTAATAATTCTACTATGCTAGCCTCCTAAGTGGGTTTCTCTTTCCCTGCCCTTACTCTTTTTCTCTTTCCTTTTTAAAATTACCATATGGTAACTATACTTCATAATAGGTTTGTTATTATGTACTTATGCATGATGTAATGCATTTTGATCAAAGTTCTCCCCTCCCCCACCTTTTTGTCACACTCCCACTGACTCCTTCCCTTTTCCCGGTTAGTCTTCCTCCTTTAATGGCATTTGGGGATTGGAGAAGACAGCAAATCTAAATAGAGGTGCTTGTAGGAACATGGGCAACCGCTACACCACTAAAGAAAATGGCTCTTCCTCCCTCAGCAGCCATTAACTGCTCATAGATCCTTGTGGGCGTGGGGAGGGCTCGTGAGTCCCTCTCCCACATTATAATCTTCTTATCTCACTATTTTGATTTCTGTAACAATTCTTAGGGTTCTGTTTTTCATATTTTCAGACAGGTGCTCTAGTTCACAGTTACAGGGGAACAGGTGGGATTTTTGAAGTTTGCTGGAATGCAGCAGGAGACAAAGTTGGAGCCAGTGCATCAGATGGTTCAGTGAGTATATCCATGAATTTTTAAAGAAAAGGGAGCATGTTGGATTCACAGTCATGCTCTTTGCAAAATAAAAATTTTTAGTGATGGTATTGACATCATCCCTGGGCTACATGTGCTGGATAGTCCATTACCTTTGAATAAAATAAAACTTAGGGTGACTTTTCAGAGAATCTTCATAACCAAGTAATGAGCAATTTTCAGTGTAAATCTCCATTTGTGAAATTAAATGTAGTGAAGTATCTCTTAGTGATTGGTATTTTTAAAGCCCTTTCCCCCCAAATCTCCTCTCTGTGGAGGAAGTGTTAAGGTTGTGGAATTGAGATTGCTTTCTTCATGGAGATATTTGAAAATGAGACCTTTCGGATGCTATTAGTAGATTGTTTTTAAAAATGGTAGTGTGTCCTCCACTGTTCTTAAGCAGGAGAAGCTGCAGAGTCCCGGGGCTGTTCAATGAGATGGCCTCCATAATTTTGATGTCTGAGATATAAGATCTGAGAGTTAGAAACAATGCTTTGTATGTTTTACTGGCTGTAAAGATTGATTCCTAAAAATTACAGCAGCATTTCTTGAGTAACTGTTGCTCCCGGGGCTCACCACACAGCTGAGTGATCTGACACCCTTCAATGAAATCTCTTTCTATGATTTGTTGCTTTCATTTTATGAATATTCAACTTAGAAACAGTTTGTAAATTACACTGTGATCTGTATACAAGCTTGAAATGTACGGTAGATTTCTGGACACTGGCTGACTGTTGTATTCTCTTACAGGTTTGTGTCTTAGACCTTCGGAAATAGCGTTACTAGTTGGAAGCCATGGACCGACTATGAATGTGTACATAGCCACAAGACTATCCCTGACCCACGTACTGCTATAGTCCCACTTGAACCATGGCCAGTCCACTACAGCCAAATCTAAGAGAAATAGATACATGCAGTGTATATGAACACAGCTGTACCCTGAAGATGACAGTCTCATCCCAGCTTGTGAATTCTGCTCACCAAGTGCTGGGATCTAACCTGCTGTGCCCCTAAGTAGCAGTTAGAAGTTTGGATATGAAAAGCAGAAGAGATGGAATATGCGTTATAAGAGCAAACCACACATGTACCAGTTTTGGACATTATGACAGCCTTGTTTCTCCCCTTTAAATCAGCAGACACCATGGATTATATTCTTTTCCCCTTCAGTAGTGCACAGTTTGTATGTACAGAGAACATGGACTTAACAAAAATGCGAGGCAGTAGTTTGTTCTTGCTTTCAAGTTTGTTTTGGTTTAGATTATGGATGCATGAAGTAAGGGAGTGAATCATTTTCTTGCTTTTATTTTTCCTCACCTTTTAAAGAAACAAAAAAATATTTTACTGCATTCTTTGGAAAAGGTAGATGTTTGGTACATTTTATGGCTCCCAGAGCATATATTCAGTTGGTGCATATTGTGGAGGAGTTGGAATTAAAGGAAACCACATGACTCTCGTCATGTTATTCTCTAAGACACATCAGCAAAGGGTATTATGTTATCTTTGTTTTGGGTTTTTTGTTTTTGTTCTTTGTGTGTGTGTGTGTGTGTGTGAGAGTGAGTGTGAGTGTGAGTGATGTGGCTTAAATAAAATAGTTTCTTCTTGGGGACGCATTTCTGCCAACTAAAGACTAGAAGGGCACAATTTTTTTTTTAAATACCATAAAGAAGAGACTTTTTTTAAAAAAATTCTTCTGGTGTTTTGTAGCCATAACAAAATTATGGTCAAAATGTGCACTATTGTGAGAAGGAGCAACATAGTTTGGGGCTTTTATTTTTATTTTTTATTTTACCATTTGTCTGTTTTACTTGTTTCTTAAGAGATTAAAATGTTTCTGGATAAGGATTAGCTTCTCAAAGTGTCCATCATTCTGTATAGAAGCTTAAATATGTAATGTAACCAGATTCCAGTATTAAAAATCTCACGTTATTTTTCTTTTTACAAAGCAAGATTATGGCATATAACACTGCCATCACATGGCAAAATGTTTGCTACCTTAGTTTTAAAAACAACTTTTAAAGGCTTGCTTTGAGGTGTTTTGAGTAGCAGTGACTGAGAATTTAGGGAGAAGTGTGGCCGCTGTGCCTGCGTCTGTGGTGCCGAGGCTGCACTTTGTCAAGCAACATAGATCTAAGCTGCTGTTTTCCAGTAATCACTACTATATCATGTCTTTTACTCTGTTTATATCAAGTATTTTTTTAAAGATAGAAGTATCCAATCAAATCTCTTCTTGTGCTCAGCTAAAAGTAAAATATACCTACAAATATTCACCAGAGGCCATGTTTGTGAAGGTGGTTAAGAAGACAGTCAAGATTAACAGAAGAATCCAGGCATGTCAGTTCTGAAGAGAACAGTTGTCAAATTTATATCTTTAAATTTTTTATTAAGAAATTGCTTAGCAAATTTATAACACTATTTGTGCAACTAGTTATTTTGAGGCCTTTGACTCCTGAGTCCCAACCTGTGTTCTGTCTAAGCGGCTCTAACCCAGCCTTGCAGCTTTGAAGCTCAGTATCTGCTGCTTTGCTCTTTACAAAACAGCATTGATTGATGAAAGTCTTGGCATCACTGAGGTAGGGTGGCATTTGTTTTTGGTGAAGAGGATGAATACACTTAAATTTCACTATACATTGTTATATCTCCCCCATTGTTGTTAGTGGGGACTATGATACTGTAATAATATTTTTAAAATTTGCATCCAGAGAGGCAGTCATTTATGGTTTGTGCCAGGTATTTTTAGGGTTGGATCACACTGAGATGTTTAGAGCTCACTGCTCTGGGGCTCTGTAGGAAATCTACAATGCCAAGTGTCTGGCACTTGAGATTCTGCTTTTACTTCGAGAGGTCACATCTGTTGGCCTCTGTTGTTGTTTAAAAAAAATAATAAATAAGTAAAAAAAATCTGTGCAATAATTTTTAAATGTGCTCCCAGGAATAGACACAAACGTTTTGAGTTGCCTCAGCTGCATCTCCTTCAGCGATGCGTTTGTCAATTGCACTGAATCTAAACCTGAAGGTCAGAGGTGATTATTGATAGTGCTTTTGTATTTTGATATGGACATTTTGTTCATTTGCATACAGTCATTGACATTCTTCCCAGCTGATTCAAAGACAGTCACAAATTCCTGCAATACAGCTGCCAAAATGACAGCTGAATTTTACGATATTGTCTTGCTTCCTGTTGGGTGTGTTTGTTGATTTGGCTTCTTTTCCTAATTCTTTCTTTGGCTGTTTGACTTCAGCACCTAGCTGTGATAGGATGTGTAACAGAGCGTGAGTGCAGAACTTTGCTGTCCCGAAGCCGTGGGTCCTCCCGTGCAGACTTGTCTGAAGGTGTCCATCTTTAGGCTGGTTCTTTGTGAGCATAGGACTGGGTGCTTTGCTGCTCTTCTCTCTGTCACCGTAGCCTGCTGACGTGCCACAATGCTGCTCCACAGACACCGCACCGTGTCTCCACCCGAGCAGTCAGATGATCACGGGAGACCATGTCACACAGCATATGAAGTTCTGTCTTGTTTTTTTTTTACTTTCCCTCTTGTCTTTTTCTGAGAGCTTACTCTGGAGATCCACTGAGTCCAGGAGTCTTTCTATGGTGTTCATTTAGATCATTTGTTTTATACTTTACTGTAAGGAACTTAATCATAAGGAAAGAGAATAAGGAGACTTAAATGAAAACTCTTTGATTAAAGTAGACTAGAGGGAGCAGCCTTTAAAAGCAAGAAGGAATCTGCTCTCCATGTGGAGACCCCTGGAGATGTAGATCTGCCCTGTTTCTGTTTTCCATGACCAGGTAATATCATTGACTTTCAAATGACTTTAGAAGTGGTAACTGGAATAGGTCTTAGAGTGTAGCAAATTCTGTTTTCATGAGTTATCCTCTAGGTGAGTATGTTTTAGGATTAAACACCTTTTACAGATACTGAAAGTGCCTCCTTTTGTGGTATAAAAAAAAAACAAATTATGGTGCAAAAAGTAATCAATAGATTGAATCACATGAAGGTTTTTTGCTTTTTGACATTAAAATGTCAAGAGACAGGCCAAAGATTTGTACTTTTCACTTATAAAGCACTCCTTTTTTCCTTAAGATTCTTTCTGTCAAATCAGATTTAATGAGAGAGTACTATTTTTAAGGAGCTATCTGTTTATGTAGAATGATTTTGTTAAAAAAGAGTAATGTAAAATATGAATGAGGAGCAGAGACCCACACCCACAGAGGACTGGACATTTTGCTGTTTAATGGAATCACAGATGACCAGGCTTCTGCAAGCAGACATGACAAGTGTCACCAGATGCATAGGAAAACCATCTCAGACAGTGCTGTCTTGCTCTTTTAAAGACCATTTATGTTTTTGTAAGCATGTTGCACATTTCCACAACAGCTGGATTCCCATGAGCTAAGAGCTGTACTTGCATAGTTGCTGCAGAAATCCTGCCTCCGTGGACCAACATCGTGGCACACCAGCAAAAGCCAGCGTTGGGGGCTGGCAGCCAGCCTACAGAGACCCTGGGGGTGATTTTTCATTTGTTTTTTGGTTCCCTCCCTTTCTCTGAAATCAGCAAGGAGGGAAGGTATGAACTACTTCCAGTAATAGCTCTGAAGTATCTGTCACACTTAATATCAGTTTTTTTGTTTTGTTTTGATTTGATTTGTTTTTGGTTTTTCGAGACAGGGTTTCTCTGTGTAGTTTGGTGCCTGTCCTGGATTTTGCTCTGTAGACCAGGCTGGCCTCGAATTCCCAGAGATCAGCCTGGCTCTGCCTCCTGAGTGCTGGGACTAAAGGCGTGCGCCACCACCGCCTGGTTTAATATCATTTTTTTAATATGTGATTCTAATTGAATGTAGAAGAGAGAAAAAAAGGAAGTGCTCACATTTATAATCCACTCATTTAGAATCTGGTGTCGTCTTTAGCAGTTCTGAGGTGTCCATAGCATTCTTTATTTCTGCTCTTCTGTGACAGTGTTGAAGCAGGGTGAATAACTAGGCTTTTTTTTTTTTTCTTTTTCTTTTTTAAACCTACCAAGCTGTTTCGTGTTTTCTTTGGAATTTCTGGATAAGTTGGAGGAAACATTCTGCATGTTGTGTCCTGTGTACTTCTTCATCTCATTACAAACAGGCAGACTTCATTGTGTGTCTCTGCCGTCATTAAATACAGAAGTGATTTTTCTCTCCTGATTTTGACATTGTCACTATATATAATGTTTTCATTTGGGTTTGGCAAATCCTTTGGGTCTGATTCTGTGAGCATATCCTAGCACTGGGTGATGATGTCTGCATCCTTTTTAGTTCCTGAGTTAACGTTAAAACTGTTGTAAAAGTGTAAACCAGCCCATGACAGGTTTTTTTTTGTACATGTTAAAGAACTTTATTGTTCAGTTTTCATGATGATTGTGTAAGGAAGACTGATACAGATGTCTATCTCTCCTGGACCATGTCAATGACACTTACGATGTATTTTGGTTCCACATCGCGATGATTTGTCCCCAATGACCCTTTGACCCTTTCCAGGCACATTTTTTTTTTGTGTGTGTGTGTGTGTTGTTACAGTTTTCCCCTTTGCATTGTATTGCTTTGACAACTGTAATTTGAATCAGATCTGAAAGAGGTCCAGAATAAAATATATTTTGATATTATGTTGGCTGTGTACATATATAAAACCTTTGATACCGATGTGGTTTGTATAGACTATTTAGTCAAGTAAAGAGAGGGATGGTGTTTGTTTACAATTTCCTGTTTACATTTCAATTGCTTTTATCTCCCACTGTTCAGTGTAGAATAAATGATTTTGCTCCAAGAGTCTTCCCTACTACAACCTATCTGTCCTAGCTCTATCTCCAGTGAATATAACTGCCATGGGAATCACTGTTTTCATAAACATTGTTTCCAAAATGTATACTTTAAAGAAGTCCATAGATGAAATTAAAGTTTTTGCTATTTTATTACTTCTTGCAGGGGATAAGATTTTTTAAAATGAAGGGATTATTTTCTATATTTGTTAAATAATAGCATGTAATCAGCTAAAGGATAATGATACTCCTGAGTGATTTTGAAAAACAGATTGTTTATTTAGAGGATGTCTCACATGAACTAAGACTTCAGATTCACTGTTAGCTTAACATGCAGTGACACAAGACACACCAAGTGTGTGGCTGAAGGCTTTCAGGGCAGGAACTTCTCCCTCCACATAAACCAAGCATACTGCAAAAGTTAGCTAATTGCTTATAATACGTAAAACCTTATGATCTATGAGGAAAGTCTCAAAGCACCCCTCCCAACCTCCGTTACTCTCAACACTTCTGTAGTTACAGAGACTTTGTCAAAATAAAACCATTGGAAATGTTCTTCATTTTCTTGGTCAAGTTGCCTTCTCCATGTCCTCCACCTTTCTTAAGTTTCCTTGATAGGAACAGGCAGATATAGCCTTGTTATGCTGTCACTGCAGTTGCTAAAGCTAACAACCTTTAGTTTTCAAGAGGTTAACTTCTATAGCATGGCATAGGTTGTTAATGACATCGTTTTTATACTTTTCCAGAAAGCATTGGGCTGCCAAGGATTAGAGTCCATATGAGCCTGAAGTTAAGCAGAAATTCATTGAGCCACCATTGCAGGGGGTTACTTTTAATTTCCTAGTTCTCATACTTTACCATGAATTAGATTTCTTACCTACTATAATATGTAGCTGATTAGGTTAAAGTTTACTGGATTTTTTTCCTATATATTCATTTGAAAACTACAGTAGAGGAAAAGCCATAATGGACAGACACTTGGTTTTGTGGTGCTTTTCTCTGCTGTACTGAGGCTCTGTCAACAGTGAAAATGTTAACCCTATGCTATCTTTCCCTGCATGCTTCTTTAAATGTCATCTATCAATGCTTAATTGTCCTAACTTGTAATATTTTTGTATTAAATTTTTTAGGAGTTCCTTGTAATTTCTTTATAATTTAAAATATATTAAACACAAAGTGTTTAGTAAAGTCCAGCTGACAATTACTAATGTTTCTTGGTTGTTGGGTTTGTATGATCAGGTGGGAAGGGAAATTCTCATTTTAAGAAGTAGGACCAGTGGGATGGAGTTAGCACTAGAAAACAATCACAGTTACTTAGTTTAAAATAACACAATGATTAACAGTGTCACAACGGGCTGCTTACAGCTTGCCACTTTGCTGGCCAGGACAAGCATGGGCTGGGTGGCACTGCCGTGGGGAACCCAACTCCTGCAAACCCAAAACCTGGAGACACCAGCTTCAGAGTACATAATTCAGGAAAGTGAAACACCTGTGCACTGCCAGAAAGTCACCTTCTGCATCACCTGTTTTACAGACAACCTCAGTCACGTGAGGAGACTTACAGGAGGGGAGGAAAAAAAATAAGCATCTGCATGATTAGTGGGGATGACACAGAGAGACCACAAAATTATCAGAGCAAATGTAGCTTACAGAAACATGCCTGTGAGCAATGCGGCTGCACACGTGTAATCCTGGCACTTGGGAGGTGGAGTCAGTAAGGCCACATATCCAGTCTGAGATCAGCTTGGTCTACATGAAACGCTCCTCCATCCCTCCGTCCCCATGAAAGAAAAGTTACTTATGTAGTATTAGTCTTAATATTTCAAGCTGGGTTGGCTGAAATATTTGAATCTACAGTGATAAGCATGGACAATGGACATTGCTAAAGTAAAGTAAGTCTTCAGATGTGAATAGAAATAGAGATAAGTTAATTTTAACGTAAATAGTATACCTGGAATGTGCATTAGAATTCTTGTAAAAGTGTAAAGAGTTCCTGACTCACCTCTGACCTAACAGGATGTGGTATGTCAGTAAGTGTGCTTTTGTGAGCTTGTTTGTGCAGGGGGTAACTGGGGAGTGAGGCTAGCATTGGCATGAGGTTGATTGCAATTTGTGCATATGAGGAAAGTCGAATATAAAGTATAACAACATGTGCACCTAAGCCGTAACCAGTTTCTCGCTCATATCCATTGTTAGCAGTTTGATATGTTCTTCAAAACAGCTTCAGGGTATGCTTCCTCAACTGCCCTCCATGTCAGATCCTTGGGGACTTTGGTGTCCTTTCTCCAGCTTGTAGATGTAGCATGTCTGACTATCTGCTCAGCTCAATTTTTATGACTGTATGACATATCTCCTCTTCTATAAAATGGTGCTAGAGGTAATTACTTCATAGATTAACCATAAAGATTAACACTGTGGTCAGTCTGTCTAAAACCCTTAGAGAACAGAACTTGGTTGTGTAAAGCACACCATGCTGCCATTTTTAAATAAGTTTTTTCTATTTTGTGTATGAGTACAAGCGCCTCATCGTGTGTGGAAGTCACCTTGGCTTTTTGTTTCTGTTTTGAGGTGGGGTGTCTCCATTGTTGCTGTCATTGTGCCACATAATCCAGGCTAGTTGGACTTTGAGCTTCAGCCAGTTCTATCTCTGCCTCCTATCTCCTCATAGGAGAGCTGGAAGTATAGGCACAGCCACTGTATATGGGTGCTGGCACATGGAGCCCATGGTTTTACATGCTGAGCTGTCTCCCTGGTCCACATCCTGCCCCTCTGACTTTCTCTAGCCACATTGTTACACACTGAAGTTCACTTCCTCCATGGACACTTTATTGACTTTTATTACAAACTGGTACACACACAGAAAGAAAACCTGTGGATAGAAGAGATTTATTGGTTTGTTCTGGTGCACAGCTTAGCTTCAAGTCACTTCAGAGAGTCCATGAAGGTCAATTATTGTACTTCATTTTTAAAGGGAACCATTTAAGAACTTGTAGAAGAGGAACCCCTGGGAAGGATTTTACCATCTACTCCATGCAGGTACAAGAGAGGGAGAGGCCAGGATGACAGTCCAAAGACCCAGCCTTTTATTAAAATGTCATTTAATTATTGAATGCTAAAAATACAATTAAGATGTTGTTAAAAGTGTGTGTGTGTGTGTGTGTGTGTGTGTGAGAGAGAGAGAGAGAGAGAGAGAGAGAGAGAGAGAGAGAGAGAGAGAGAGAGAGAGAGAGAGAGAGAGAGAGAGAGAGAGAATGTGTAGAGTCAGTTCCACAGGGTTTCCTTTTGGGGATGGAATCTTGAAACATAGTCCAAGTTCGGCTTAGTCTTGTAATTCTACTTCCATATCCTAAATTACTGGCTTATGCCACCACTTTGGAAACCTTTGCCAGATCTTTTGGAAGCCAGTTCATGTGCTGTCCTAGCAGACATTTGGGATTATTTTCTGTGATCATTTTAAAGGCATTTTTGAAGTCATTTTCCCCTCCCCAGTAAGTGGTCTTCTTTCTTCATCATTTCCTCCTGGCACTGGAAATGCAGTAATGATCCAGTCAAAAACAGACTGTTCTTGTGAAGTGACACTTTAGAGGATGGTAGTCTGTAGTGCCCTGTAAAAGAAAAGAATTAGGACTGCCTACCTAACATTCCTGTTAATTGAAACTGAGCCAACTGATGATAGATTCAAATAATGCAGCCTGATTTGAGGTTCTGTGTAAAGGGAAATGATCGATATGAGGCAGAGGGTCTGAGTCCTTGGACTGTAGAATGGTGTGAGTCTGTCCTTAGGACACTGTCTTGGTTACTTTCCTGTTGCTATGAAAAAAATATGAAGGCAACTTAGAAAGCATTTAATGGAGGGTTACATTGTCAGAGGTATCCATGATCATGGTGGGGGGCATGGCTTCAGACAGGTATGGCACTGGAACTGTAGCTGAGAGTTTTTGTCTGATCCATGTGCATGGGGCAGGAGAGCCAGCTGGAATGGTGTGGACCTTTGACATTGCAAAGCCCACCTCCAGTGACACACTTCCAATGAGGCTACACCTCCTAATCCTTCCCAAACAGTTGCACCAACTGGGCACCAAATGTTCAAACACTTGAGCCTATGGGGGGGGGGGCATTCTCACTCAAACCACCACAGACACTGAATGTCCCTCTGGCTCACAGTACACTTACACTTTGCAGCATCTCTATTAAATAGTTCTCCCAGCTTTCTTAACTATAAAAGGCAAAGGTATCAAGTGTTCATCCTATTTCTCATGAGGAAATGTGAGCCGAGTGAGCAGTTAACTACTGAGAGCAAGAACTTGGAGGTTTTGGAATCCTGTGCCTTTCAATCCCATGTTCTTCATTCTTCCAGTTTTCTAAGAATAAACTATGTTTCAGAGCATTTCAGTTGTCTTTGTGCCTTTTATCACTCAGTTCAACTCTCAGGAGGCTACTTTGGAACTAGTGACTTGGTTATGATATCCTAATATCTGACAACCAAGAACCTAATAAATCTGCTATGATGATAGATCACCCAAGTAAACTGTGCACATGAGAAAATTTTAATGACACAAATCTAAATAGAGATGTCCCTATCCATGTCTATCCTAAATTCCTAAAGAATAGGGGCAAATCTTGAGACCACTGTGACATGGTTGCTGATAGGGGTACATGGAAAAAAGAAGAGGTTCCCCCAAAAGAATCTTGTCTCAGCTTACTGATGAGAACATTCAGTGGATAGATACTAGCTAAACTTCTCTAAAGGATTGTCATGAAAGGCAAGCTCAAATTAATTTGATAATCTGATCAGCATACTGTTTCTGCTTGTCTTCTGGGAGTGACAACTGCATCTGGTTGTATGCATTATGTATATTGTAAAGCACAGTGCTTAGTACATAGGGAGGCCTGTGAAGTGTAACCATTTTCTTCCCTTGACCATGTTGGTGGAAGATGCTAGATTGACATGTGGCTAATAGCTGGATAGAAAGTTAGGCAAGGAAAGCCAAATTGAGAATGATGGGAAGAAGAAGGGTGGAGTTAGCAGAAGCTGCAAGCCACCCAAGAAGCAAAATTTGAAAGAACTGGTAAGCCACAGGCCATGTGGCAATACATAGATTAATAGAAGTGGGTTAATTTAAATGTAGAGCTAGCTAGTAATAAGCCTGAGACATCGGCCAAGCATTTATAATTAATATAAGCATCTGAGTGATTATTTGGAAATGGTTGCAGGAGGGGTGGGATAGAGAAAAGCTTCCAGTTACGAGGTTTACCCCCTTTTGTTGAGAGTCAAGTTGTGCTTTGTATTCACAATGGCAACTGATATGCAGTTCAGCTGCATATGCTGAGTTCAGTGCCCACTTGGATACTGACTTTATTCTTAAACTCTGCTTTTGCAACCATCCTGTGGATTTCATGTTTATTGCAGGATGGTGAATTCTGTTCCTTGCCCAGTGGTCTGTCTGAGTCTTGTGTTATATGTAACTATCATATTCAGGTCACCTTTTCTTCTCAGAATTTACTTATCACTCTAAGTCCAGGAGTCCCAATGAGAGATATGATATCCCTTCTTAGGCCCACTTCAGTGGGATGGATACAGAGTGAGCAACAGTCTCATCTCACATCTTCTCTCCAGGTGTGCTGAGCTTGTTGAATTTACAGAATCCCTATGAGGTGCACTCTAGCCTTGTGCTCTCTTCCATGTTGATGTGTGAGGCCAGTGTAGCCCTTTCTCTCCACAGATTGGTTTTTAGTATCTAGATTCCAGAAGATTCCATAGCATTAAAATTTGGTAATTTTTTTTGTGGTGAATTACTACCTATGAATCTTTACCAGACCATAGTAAGTCCTGGCCAGTCCCCATTCACATTTCTTTTAGCTAAAAATAATGATAAAAATAGAGCTTGTAATTGAGTCCCTTTTCATGATTCTTCAGGCCTTGCTAAAATGAGTCACCCTGAGTCTGTAATAGCACCACTTTATACCACTTAAGGTTTTTATTTTTTCTCCAGTAGTGCTCTCCATACTTGGGGAAGTAGTTGACTTAGTACTGATGAAGACCAGTAGAGCCCCTGGATGTGGAGAGTTCAATAGTCATATTTTACAAGGCAGCATTCCACATACAGGGAGTGGGGGCTTGTAGTCAGGATATACCTGGCACAGGTGTGGCTTACACTTGTGAGTTGTTGCTGGTGTCTGTGAAGACTCTT